CAGACTTTTGGCAAAACATTTGTCTTCTTTAACTTGATTTGATTTAGTTAAACACATGAGACCCTTACACTGACCAGGTATATTTCCAATACAATATTACAGAAGAAGTTGCAACATGTGAAAGAAAGACAGCTAGAGATGGTGTGTGTGTGTGTGTGTGTGTGTGTGTGTGTGTGTGTGTGTGTGTGTGTGTGTGTGTGTGTGTGTGTGTCTGTGTGTGTGTGTGTGTGTGTGTGTGTGTGTGTGTGTGTGTGTGTGTGTGTGTGTGTCTGTGTGTGTGTGTGTGTGTGTGTGTGTGTGTGTGTATGCAACATTGTGCATAAGAAGAATCCAGAATGTGTCGTTGATATGTGCTGACTGACGACAGGAAAGAGTAACAACGTTTAGCAGGCAGGTGACTTTGTACATTTCTAATGTGAACCGACATAAATGTATACAAATAATAATATAGAGATATGCTATAAGATATCGGTGGCTTGGTTATTGCTTATAGTCCTATGTACATGTTCGTCACAGTGTTTGGCTTGAATCCAAGGGTTTGAACAACAGATGCACGTTATAGTTAGCCTGGTTCCAGATCTGTTTGTGCTCTTGCCAACTCCATTACTTTCACTGCAAGCCAATTGGTAGCCTGGGTACCAGTCTGTTTGTGCTATCTTGCCACTCCTTGAGTCGGAATCATGGCACAAACAGATCTAGGACCAGGCTAGCCAATTGGCATGACGTTGAGTGATGAGGATTTGGCGTGATGGCACAAACAGACTGGCACTCAGGCTACGTTGTATATAGTTACGTAAACAAGTGACTATGTGTTATACAGTTTGGAGGTGAAGTCCTTTAGTAATGTAGCCTGAAACCCAGATCTGTTTCGTGTTAACATTCCACTCCTTGTACTCTGTGTCATGTGCCAAACATGGCGTGACAAGAAGTGGAATGTTAGCACAAACAGACTGGTACCCAGGCTATCAGTGATTATGTACAGCAGGTGCAATTATATTACATGGTGTAATTTAGGACAAGGATGTTGAATTCCACTTGCAAGTATAGGGGTTACGGCTTCAAGGGTGAAGAGGTCGCGATAGATGTTGATTCTTCTAATGGAACATTTGGAGGGTGACCTTTAGGGTCAGGGGTTAGGGGTTAGGGGTTGGGGGTGGTGGCTGGGGCTAGAGTTGGGGTTAAGCTTGGAGTTGTGTAACAAGCGTCACAGTATAGCTTCCTTCCCTGGGCGCTGGGCTCCAACCAACCAGGGATCATGTACCTCATATACACACATGACCCCCCCCTCTTGACCCCCAGCGTCTTAGCCAATCACACTATAGAAAGGGTAGCGATTCCAACTCTGTTGCATATGGTTTTTAGGTCTTGGTGGGTGTGGGGGGGGGGGATACTCAGCGGGGGTTGAGAGCAGTGGTCGGGGACTTGTTCAGGATCTTCAATGTCTGGCACAAAGGTACATCTGAAGAGATGAGGATGGTAGGGTGTAGGGGTTAGGATGGTAGGGTGTAGGACTAGGATGTAGGGTGTAGGGGTTAGGAAGTAGGGTGTAGGGGTTAGGATGTAGGGTGTAGGGGTTAGGGGTTAGGACGTAGGGTGTAGGGGTTAGGATGTAGGGTGTAGGGGTTAGGAATAGGGTGTAGGGGTTAGGGTGTAGGGTGTTGGGGTTAGGGTGTAGGGTGTTGGGGTTAGGGTGTAGGGTGTAGGGGTTAGGGCGTAGGGTGTAGGGGTTAGGGTGTAGGGTGTTGGGGTTAGGGTGTAGGGTGTAGGGGTTAGGATGTAGGGTGTAGGGGTTAGGATGTAGGGTGTAGGGGTTAGGATGTAGGGTGTAGGGGTTAGGACGTAGGGTGTAGGGGTTAGGATGTAGGGTGTAGGGGTTAGGGTGGTAGGGTGTAGGGGTTAGGGTGGTAGGGTGTAGGGGCTAGGATGGTAGGGTGTAGGGGTTAGGATGAAGTGTGTAGGGGTTAGGATGTAGGGTGTAGGGGTTAGGATGGTAGGGTGTAGGGGTTAGGATGGTAGGGTGTAGGGGTTAGGACGTAGGGTGTAGGGGTTAGGATGTAGGGTGTAGGGGTTAGGACGTAGGGTGTAGGGGTTAGGACGTAGGGTGTAGGGGTTAGGATGGTAGGGTGGCAGGGTGTAGGGGTTATGATGGTAGGGTGTAGGGGCTAGGATGTAGGGTGTAGGGGTTAGGGTGTAGGGTGTAGGGCTTAGGGTGGTAGGGTGTAGGGTGTAGGGCTAGGATGTAGGGTGTAGGGGTTAGGAAGTAGGGTGTAGGGGTTAGGATGTAGGGTGTAGGGGTTAGGGTGGTAGGGTGTAGGGGTTAGGGTGGTAGGGTGTAGGGGTTAGGGTGGTAGGGTGTAGGGGTTAGGGTGTACCGGTTAGGGAGTAGAGTTCCATTCCAGTCCTGGAGGGCAGAAACCCTTCTGTTTTGTCTTTCTACCTGGTAGTTAATTGCAGTCACCTGGTGTCCCAGGTCTGAATCAGTCCCGTATTAGAAGGACAGGATGAAAACCAAAGTGTTTCGTCCCTCCAGGACCGACATTGAACAGCCCTGGTTTAGGGGTTAGGGGTTAGGGTCTAGTTACTATGTGTTCTAGGGTGTCGGGTATAGGGGTTACGGTGTAGGGGCTAGGGTCTATGTATTGAAGGGTGGGGTGGTGAGGTACAAAGTGATGGCTGGAGTGAAGATGAGGATGGTACCCAGTATGGAGACAGTGAGGAACACCCACAATAAGATCCTGTCCAACACCTGAGCCACAAACTTCCAGTCCTGCACCACCTGGAGGGAGGGAGGGAGGGAGGGAGGGAGGGAGGGAGGGAGGGAGAGAGACAGAGAGAGACAGAGAGAGAGAGAGAGAGAGAGAGAGAGAGAGAGAGAGAGAGAGAGAGAGAGAGAGAGAGAAGAGAGAGAGAGAGAGAGAGAGATAGAGAGAGAGAGAGAGAGAGAGAGAGAGAGAGAGAGAGAGAGAGAGAGAGAGAGTAGATTTTTTACCCATCTGAAAACTAAAAGATATAGAGACAGAAACACACACACACGCACACACGCACACGCACACACACACACACACACACACACACACACACACCACACACACACACACACCTACCTCTCTGATAAAGTGTTCCTTCTTGATGTGACGGCTGATGTACCGTACTGAGTTGGTGGCTTTCTCCAGCATGGCCAACCAGGCATGGTTCTCATCCTCCTTTCCCCCGACAGGGCCTCTCTGCTGGGCTTGGCCCTGGCCCGAGGCCCCCCTCCTCCCTGGACCTCCACGAGGCTTCAGCTCCGGGCTACGCAGTTCAATGTCTGGGTAGTGGTACCTAGTAATTACACCAGGTACAAATAATTACTACAATCGCAATGTTGATTATTCAGGAATAAAGCACGTAGTAGCTTCTTTCTCTTACTCTCTGTCTGTCTGTCTGTCTGTCTGTCTGTCTGTCTGTCTGTCTGTCTGTCTGTCTGTCTGTCTGTCTGTCTGTCTGTCTGTCTGTCTGTCTGTCTGTCTGTCTGTCTGTCTGTCTGTCTTTCTCTCTGTCTGTCTTTCTGTCTTTCTTTCTTTCTTTCTCTCTTTCTTTCTTTCTTTCCATCAAATGAAAGAGAATCATATGATATATCAACCATATCTAATTATTATGATCTATTTATTTACATCAGGGTTGATCTACAGTTGTTATATTCCCTCAATATATTTTCATCTTATCTTCTAAAATCATATTTTATTAATTTGTTATTGAATTGAATCATAAAACATCAATGAAATCAATCATTGGTAATCAACTGGAAAAGAGAAGGTGTGTGTGTAGGTGTGTTTACCTGTCAGTGTGTCCCCTCATGCAGAGCAGTCTGGGTAGCCTCTGGAGGAAGAGGCTTTTTACCCAGGGGGCCATGGGGTGGTAGGTGGCTGAGGAGCGGTGGTGGACGTTGATGACAAACACGGTGACGATGATGGAGAAGGTGACGAAGATCATGATGAAGAGGAGGTATTCTCCAATCAGAGGTATCACCTTGGTGATGAATACATAAACAACATGTTACTTATATCACATCTCTCAAGAGTACACCAATAACTCACACTATAGAGCCAACCCAAACCATACTGGGATGCCTTCCTGTTGTCACGTTGTCATTTCCAGCACGGTTCCAACATCCATGGAAAGCCCAGTACAGCTCGGTTTGGCTCTGTAGTTTGAAAAAGCTCTGAAAGGACTGAGAGGAGCGTTCCACAGACACACAGACACACACCCAGCGAACCCCACTGACCTTGGAGGACGAGGGTATAATCTCTTCTATGACGAGGAGGAACACCGTGAGAGACACCAGGACCGACGTGGACAGAGACAGCTTCTCTCCTTCATCGGACGGGAGATAGAACACCAACACGGTCAGGAAGGACAGACCGAGACAGGGGATGATGAGGAAGAGTGTGTAGAACAAAGGAAGCCTCTTGAGGATGAAGGAGTAGGTAACGAAGGGGTACCAGTAGATACCGTCCCGCCGGCTGCCCTTGGCGCCCGTGGCGTTGAGGATCTCCCATTCACCTGTAAGGGAACTCGATCAGTGATTGTATGTTATCTTTAATGTTATTGGATAATGGGTGACTGGACCACGTTCACATTGGAGATAGAGAGACAGGGCATTCTCATACTGATTAACGTCTTGATTAACTGTGATGGGAAGAGACAGACAAAGCGGGTTAGTTACCATCACCCTCATGTTTCTTGTATAAATGGTGTCTCTAACCGACATTTATTAACTGGTTACTAAACTGCCGTACGTTTCCCTCTATACCTCTATAATACCGTGAGATATTATTGTAGTTAGAACAATGAACTTGTTGCTTGACTTTTGGAGCTTTTGGAGTAGCAAGACATCTTACTTCAAGAGTATTTTTCCTACACACCGTTGTCGAAGAAGTCCTTGCGGTCGACGTAGTGGTCGACCAGGACAAGGTCGACCATGTTGCCGTCGTAGGTCCACGAGCCAAACTTCATGGAGCAGTTCTGTCTGTGTTGGGGAAGGGGAAAACATTCTGTCTGTATTGTCTGCAGTTCTGTCTGTGTTGTTAAATGGACTTTTATATTAAAGTATTTATATTGTAAAGTTAAAAACATTTTTAAAGGTAGTTTTTTTAACAGCTGACCGCAGAGGCAAATCTACACCAGTCACATCTCAATCAACCAACCAATCAACCAACCAACCAATCAATAAACCAACCAACCAACCTATCAATCAACCAATCAATCAACCAATCAATCAATCAACCAACCAACCAACCAACCAACCAATCAATCAATCAATCAATCAATCAATCAATCAACCAATCACCAACCAATCAATCAACCAACCAATCAACCAGTCAACCAACAAACCAACCAATCAACCAATCAACCAATAACCAACATATCAACCAACCAATCAATCAATCCATCAATCAATCAATCAATCAACCAATCAACCAATCAACCAATCAATCAACCAACCAGTCAACCAACAAATCAACCAATCAACCAATCAACCAATCAACCAATCAACCAATCAACCAATAACCAACCAATCAACCAACCAACCAGCCAACCAACCAACCAACCAGCCAACCAAGGGGAAGGGGAGAGTGAGTGATAAAGGAGAAAACAATAATATAAATGACATTGATAAAGTGAAAAACAGAGATAATCATGGATGTCACCTTCTTCCCGTCCGACAGGTAGGACTGATGGATTGATTGGTTGATTAATGTGTGTGTGTGTGTGTGTATATGTGTCTCCCTGTGTGTGTGTCTATGCGTGCGTGTGTGGGTGCACTCATGTGTGTGTTCATGTGTGTATGTTGTGTGTGTGTGTGCGTTCGTGTGTGTGTCCAGAGGTCAGTCCCACCTGTCGAAGGGAAAGAAGGTGACGTCCATGGTGCATGAAGACTTGTAGCTGGCCGGAGGGGTCCACCTGATTGTCCCGTCTGACCTCACGATGGCTTTGGTCATCAGAGAGCCCTCGAAACGCCCGTCAGCACTGAGAGGGGTGAGGAGAGAGGGAGGGATGGGAGGGATAGGGTGGGGTGGGGAACTGAGTCGGTGAGTTGTGTTTATTAGAAGCACACAGCAAACGACCGTGTGCCTATTGCAACGAACAAACTGAACTTTGCAGGATGCTGTGTGTTAGTGCTGGTTTTCTTCAAACGATACTAGCAGGAGATTACAATAGACCTCCGTGCTAACCCTGCTAACACAAATGTAGTGAGGACAAAGACAAGTCGTCAGAAGTACCCTGTTATACACTATGTTATACATTAGAGTGAAGAGATGTCTTACGGGCATCTAAACGGTAAAACTGGTTCTAAAAAAGCATTCATAGATTTTTCAGGGAAAGTAAAGTATCAAAGAAAGTCTGAAAACACAGAGCTGAGCCCATAGGGAGCGGGAAGCAGGAAGCAGGAAGCAGGAAGCAGGAAGCAGTGTGCACTCACTTCTCATAGAGGACGATGTCCGGCAGCCATATTGTTTCAGAGGGAACTCTGATAGATGTGATTCCTCCATACTCATCTGGGTTCCACTGGAGCTTCACATCTACCCACTCCTACATAACATAGAATATTACATTATAACATACAATATTACATAACATGAATCCATAACATTATAACATAACATTATAACATACACTTTACATAACATTAACCCTTAACTTTATAACATAACATTATAACATACACTATAACATAACATTAACCCTTAACATTATAACATAACATTAACCCTTAATATTATACCATAACATTATAACATAACATTATTACATACAATATAACACTATTATAACATACAAAATAACAATGTTACATCTACCCACTCCTACATAACATTACAATACAACACTAATTATAACATAAAAATAACAATGTTACATCTACCCAGTCCTACAATGTTACAGCACCATGGGTTAGACATAGATATACTATTGATATTAACAACATACAATAATACCAATACAGGCGTGAACTGCTGAGGTATAAAACTGCTACATCAATACAATACCACAATGAAGTCTTATAGAGACAAGTGAAGCTCTATGAAGACATTGAAGTCTTCTAGAGACAAGTGAAGCTCTATGAAGACATTGTTGAGTACAGTAGCTTACAGTAGCTTAGCCAGCTGCATCCCACTGCTGGCTGGCCTCTGAAGCTAAGCAGGGTTGGTCCCTGGATGGGAGAGCAGATGCTGCTGGTAGTGGTGTTGGAGGACCAGTAGGAGGCACTATTTCCTCTGGTCTAATAAAATATCCCAATGCCCCAGGGCATTGCCCTGTGTAGAGCTATCATTAGCTGATTGGTCCTTACCTGCCATAGCCAGACATTAGCTGTCTTTAGCTGATTGGTCCTTACCTGCCATAGCCAGACATTAGCTGTCTTTAGCTGATTGGTCCTTACCTGCCATAGCCAGACATTAGTATTCATTAGCTGATTGGTCCTTACCTGCCATAGCCAGACATTAGCTGTCTTTAGCTGATTGGTCCTTACCTGCCATAGCCAGACATTAGCTGTCTTTAGCTGATTGGTCCTTACCTGCCATAGCCAGACATTAGTATTCATTAGCTGATTGGTCCTTACCTGCCATAGCCAGACATTAGCTGATTGGTCCTTACCTGCCATAGCCAGACATTAGTATTCATTAGCTGATTGGTCCTTACCTGCCATAGCCAGACATTAGCTGTCTTTAGCTGATTGGTCCTTACCTGCCATAGCCAGACATTAGTATTCATTAGCTGATTGGTCCTTACCTGCCATAGCCAGACATTAGCTGATTGGTCCTTACCTGCCATAGCCAGACATTAGTAGTCAGGAGTTGATTGGTCCTTACCTGCCATAGCCAGACATTAGTAGTCATTAGCTGATTGGTCCTTCCTGACATAGCCAGACATTAGTAGTCATTAGCTGATTGGTCCTTACCTGCCATAGCCAGACATTAGAAGTCAGGAGCTGATTGGTCCTTACCTGCCATAGCCAGACATTAGTAGTCATTAGCTGATTCTTCTCATCCTGTCAGAACAAGAAGAGGGGAGAAGAAGTATGTATTATGAACAACGAATGCATTAATAAAAGCAACGTTTTTGATGAAAGACAGAATGTGTGGGTAGAAGTTGAAGAAGTTTAGAAGGATGTCAGTCAAATTAGACTGGAGTGAAAATCCATGGCACACATGGTTTCTCTGTGTCCCAGAAAGGCAGTGGGGCAGAATGACTGAATCATCAATGGTCAACGGTGGGTTTTAGGCAGATTGGTGCATTTTGGTTAAATGACCAAAAGGTGGCAGTATGTAATCAATACAGGAATGTGAGAGAGGAGTGACTGCCTTCCACACAAGGACTAGGAACACATGTGGTTCAGACAGTCGTCTGTGTGAGAGAGAGCAAAGATAGAGACAGGAAGAGAGAAACATTTAGAGAGAGAGAGAGAGAGAGAGAGAGAGAGAGAGAGAGAGAGAGAGAGAGGAGAGAGAGAGAGAGAGAGAGAGATGAAGAGAGAAGAGAATGAGAATGAGAGTGGTCGCGCGTGCTTGCATTTGTGTGTGTGTGTTTACGTGGAGGTCAGTGTAAATAATTGATGCTATCTAGCTCCTCTCGGCCTGATGGTCCCATTAGAAACAGAGAGAGAGAGAGAGAGAGAGAGAGAGCGAGAGAGAGAGAGAGAGCAAGAGGGTGAGAGCGAGAGAGAGAGAGCAAGAGGGTGAGAGAGAGGAAACTTTAAAACCTCTTCTACCTCCTCTCTCTTCTCCTCTCCCCCCTTTCCTCACTCCTTCCTCTCAGAATAACCATATTTTCTCCTATCCTTAACTCCATCCTTTTAGTATAACCCTCGCTCCACTCTTTTCCTTTCTCTCCTCCCTGTATCTTCCCTTGCTGTCAAATTAACCACCTTTCTCTCAATTCCCCATTTCCCTCATTTTCCCTCTCTTGCTGTCCTCCTCCTGTCATCCCCTCTTCTCAAAAGAACTCCAGTAATCAACTCCACCAGGCAGAGGGACAGGGGAAAAGGAGAGGTAGTGGAGAGATGTACATGGTGCTAAAATGTACCGTAACACAGTAGGACAGTTCAGGACCATGGTAAGACAGTAGGACAGTTCAGGACCATGGTAAGACAGTAGGACAGATCAGGACCATGGTAAGACAGTAGGACAGATCAGGACCATGGTAAGACAGTAGGACAGATCAGGACCATGGTAACACAGTAGGACAGATCAGGACCATGGTAACACAGTAGGACAGATCAGGACCATGGTAAGACAGTAGGACAGATCAGCACCATGGTAAGACAGTAGGACAGTTCAGGACCATGGTAAGACAGTAGGACAGATCAGGACCATGGTAACACAGTAGGACAGATCAGGACCATGGTAAGACAGTAGGACAGATCAGGACCATGGTAAGACAGTAGGACAGATCAGGACCATGGTAACACAGTATGACAGATCAGGACCATGGTAACACAGTAGGACAGATCAGGACCATGGTAAGACAGTAGGACAGATCAGGACCATGGTAAAACAGTAGGACAGATCAGGACCATGGTAACACAGTAGGACAGATCAGGACCATGGTAAGACAGTAGGACAGATCAGGACCATGGTAACACAGTAGGACAGATCAGGACCATGGTAAGACAGTAGGACAGATCAGGACCATGGTAAGACAGTAGGACAGATCAGGACCATGGTAACACAGTAGGGACAGATCAGGACCATGGTAACACAGTAGGACAGATCAAGACCATGGTAAGACAGTAGGACAGATCAGGACCATGGTAACACAGCAGGACAGATCAGGACCATGGTAACACAGTTGGACAGATCAGGACCATGGTAAGACAGTAGGACAGATCAGGACCATGGTAAGACAGTAGGACAGATCAGGACCATGGTAACACAGTTGGACAGATCAGGACCATGGTAACACAGTAGGACAGATCAGGACCATGGTAACACAGTAGGACAGATCAGGACCACGGTAAGACAGTAGGACAGATCAGGACCATGGTAACACAGTAGGACAGATCAGGACCATGGTAACACAGTAGAACAGATCAGGACCACGGTAAGACAGTAGGACAGATCAGGACCACGGTAAGACAGTTGGACAGATCAGGACCATGGTAAGACAGTTGGACAGATCAGGACCACGGTAAGACAGTAGGACAGATCAGGACCATGGTAAGACAGTAGGACAGATCAGGACCACGGTAACACAGTAGGACAGATCAGGACCACGGTAACACAGTAGGACAGATCAGGACCATGGTAAGACAGTAGGACAGATCAGGACCATGGTAACACAGTAGGACAGATCAGGACCACGGTAAGACAGTAGGACAGATCAGGACCACGGTAAGACAGTAGGACAGATCAGGACCATGGTAAGACAGTAGAACAGATCAGGACCATGGTAAGACAGTAGGACAGATCAGGACCATGGTAACACAGTAGGACAGATCAGGACCATGGTAACACAGTAGGACAGATCAGGACCATGGTAAGACAGTAGGACAGATCAGGACCATGGTAAGACAGTAGGACAGATCAGGACCATGGTAACACAGTAGGACAGATCAGGACCATGGTAACACAGTAGGACAGATCAGGACCATGGTAACACAGTAGGACAGATCAGGACCATTCCCTCCAATGTCTTCTACCCTGGCTGTCATCCTCTCCTCTCTCACAGGGGAGTGTAAGGCGTGTGTGTGTGTGTGTTCTCACCACATCCACCAGCTGTGAGATCTTGAGTCCGAAGCGTACTGTGATGGTGTCGTTAGCGTGCATAACGGGTCGGACCCATTTCTGATACCCTCTAAACAGGTTCCTCAACAAGGCATCCTCCATCTCAGCCAGAGACACAAACTCCTCCGGAGCTATGGAGAGAGAGAGAGAGAGAGAGAGAGAGAGAGAGATAGACATAGAGACCGAGAGAGAGAGAGAGAGAGAGGATAGAGAGAGGAGAGAGAGAGGAGAGAGAGAGAGAGATAGAGGAGAGAGGTAGGATAGAGAGAGAGAACGAGCATATCAGAGTGAAACTAGAGAGATAGAGAGATAGAGTCTCCACCTCTAGATGCAGTAGCGAGAGATCGCTCCCTCTTTCTTCTCGCTCTCTCTCTGCTAGCGTCTAACTCCGTTCTTCTCTCTCTCCTCGCAGCTGACGCGGATGCGCTCGACTAGTAGCTCGCTCCGGATGAGATCTTGCCTCCTCCTTCTCCGAGCGTGGACCTCGCGCGCTGCCTCTGCTTCCTTCGCGCTCTCTCGCTCTCTAGCTCTCTCTCTCGCTCGCGCGCTTTCTGTCGTCCTCCCTCCCTCGTTCGGAATCTTCCGATAGATCTCGCTCTCTCTCTATCTCGCGCTCTCTCTCTCGGCGCAGAGAGAAATGGAAGAGAACGGTAGGGAGAGAGGGACAACAACACAATTAGACCCAACCAAATCATGCGAAAACAAAAATATAATTATTTGACACATTGGACAGAATAAACAAAAAAACAGAGCAAACTAGAATGCTCTTTGGCCCTAAACAGAGAGTACACAGTGGCAGAATACCTGACCACTGTGACTGACCCAAACTTAAGGAAAGCTTTGACCATGTACAGACTCAGTGAGCATAGCCTTGCTATTGAGAAAGGCCGCCGTAGGCAGACCTGCCTCTCAAGAGAAGACAGGCTATGTGCACTCTGCCCACAAAATGAGGAAGAAACTGAGCTTCACTTCCTAACCTCCTGCCAAATGTATGACTATATTAGAGACACATATTTCCCTCAGATTACACAGACCCATAAAGAATTAGAAAACAAATCAAATTTGGATAAACTCTCATATCTATTGGGTGAAATACAACAGTGTGCCATCACAGCAGCAAGATTTGTAACCTGTTGCCACAAGAAAAGGGCAACCATTGAAGAATAAACACTATTGTAAATACAAGCCGTATTTATGTTTATTTATTTTCCCATTCGTACTTTAACTGTTTGCACATCGTTACAACACTGTACATAGACATAATATGACATTTGAAATGTCTTTATTATTTTGGAACTTTTGTGAGTGTAATGTTTACTGTTCTTTTTTTTTTGTTTATTTCACTTTTGTTTATTATCTATTTCACTTACTTTGGCAATGTAAACATATGTTTCCCATGCCAATAAAGCCCTTTGAATTGAATTGAGACGGTTAGCTAACAAGGAAAATGTCTTTATAGAAACAAAACCAAAGCAATGGAGAAATAGTCTCAGTAAGGTAGAGGCAGAGTATGGCATGAACACACACACACAGACACAAACACACACACACACACACACACACACACACACACACACACACACAGAAACACACACACACACACAGACAGCTGGCCATGGCTCAGAGAACACCTCTGAGCTCCCCAGACTGACGAAATGATCACGCTGACATGATCACCTCAGACAAGGAGACAATCACCCAGGAATTCTAGTCGAGCACAGAGCGACGTGTTCACTCATCCACTGGACAGTACACAGTGAAGCACAAACACCCTGTCCTAACAGATTATACACAGTACTGCCTTACAATATGAATGAAGCAGGAAGGACATGCATGTTTCATTTCCTTACCTAAAAATGCATTTAGAGCTCAGACTGACTAATTCTCTGTCCCTTCAGTGTCGTGTGTACGTGTGTGTGTGTTCGTGTGTGTGTGTGTGTGATTAAGTAAGTGTGCCGAAGTACTAGAGAATTAATTAGGCCCACATAATAACATGACATCATCATCAACCTTTTAGACACTATAGTGGTCAGAATGGTTCTAGACTAGAGAGAGATACACTCAATGTTGCATTAGATGGTTAGAGTAGTGAGTGTCACAGACTATGTTAGTCTTAGCTACAGAGAACTGAATGATACACACTTACACACACACACACACACACACACACACACACACACACACACACACAACCACACACACACACACACACACACACACACACACACAAACACACACACACACACACACACACACAACCACACACACAACCACACACACACACACAACACACACACACACACACACACACACACACACACACCACACCACACACACACACACCACACACACACACACACACACACACACACACACACACACACACAACCACACACACACACACACACACACAACCACACACACACACACACACACACACACACACACACACACACACACACACACACACACACACACACACACCACACACACACACACACACACACACCACACCACACAACACACACCACACACACACCACACACACACCACACACACACACCACACACACACACAACCACACACTTACACACACACACACACACACACCACACACACACACACACACACACACAACCACACACACACACACAACCACACACACACACACACACACACACACACACACACACACACACACACAACCACACACACACACACACACACACACACACAACCACACACACACACACACACACACACACACACACACACACACTGATTGTGTTACAGTTTTTCTCAATTGCTAAAACACAATTTCTGAAACCTTGCTCCATTTCCTGAAAACATTCAACACAAAACCTCATCTTCAAGCACTATTTACAAAACCTCTGACTCCTCTCGCAAAATTAAACATTCGCCTCAAAACAGTTTTACCTGTGTTCAAAATCAAACACTGCTCTCAAATCATAAACAAAGTGATCAAAATGATAAACACTCTCAAGCAGTCAGTAAACAATACACCGAAAAATAGAAAACACATTGTTCAAAACATACAGTTCTCAGGGAGAAGTACATTTTTAATCTCAAAACAAATTTCATATTTTTCCGTCGTTGTCTTTTGATGAACGAAAACATGTTCTATCATAGTAGCTCAAAATTGATCAGAAATTACTACTCTGCTTTGCTCTTTGGTTTTTTGTTCTTCCTCCTCCTTGTACCCCTATTTTTACAGTACTGTACCCTGCATCTCACAAACTTGTCCTTTGTCTCTGTGATACTGTAATTCTTGTTCTTTGTTGATATGAACCTGCAGCCAGTCAAAATCTATTGAGCAGTCAGTACTGTTAACAAATGGAAAGCACAATGTTCAGGGCCATACAATTTGTCCATTGTACAGTATACAGCCTACAATGCACTGTACTACAGCATACAATACTAAAAGGGACAAAAATCAAAGGAGTAAACATGTGATCAATGTGCTTCTCCTTGTCTTTGGGCTGGGTCAGGCCAGAGCACTTCGTCGACATCACAAGCAATATTGTCCCTCCTGAGGCAACGGGGGAAGAAGCCTCTTGTGTGCCGTATCCAGCCCTGACATGATTCCTCACCTATATCACCACAGGCTAAATCCATGGCTTGCAGCAGATTTACTCTGATGTAGGGTTGTCTATCATACACTTTCCATCTCCAAGAGGAGAAAAACTCCTCAATCGGATTCAGGAAAGGCGAGTATGGAGGGAGGTACAAGTTCATAAACTGCCCATTGATGTTTCTGAATGTATACTTACTTGCACATACTGAGCTCGCAGTTCTTTCACCCTTGGTGAGTTGCGCTCAAAAGGTACTCTGTATACTTGTTTCATTCACATCCTGTTACGATGGAGGACACGGTCAATTGTGGAAACGCTCACACTGTCGATTCCCTGGAAGTGTGTGTTGTCTTGTATCACCCGTTCCTGGATTTCTCTGAGTCGTATTGCATTATCTTGAAGGACCATGCCAACTATAACGGCCTCTTGCTCCCGAGTGAATATAGCTGTCCTTCCACCTGCATGTGGCAGCCTTGCAATTCTACAAAAAGTAGTTGTGCAGTTACAAAACATATTCATGCAGTACAATACATACAGTGATTACAGTTTTTGCCTATTGCTTACACACTTTTTGCAGAATTTGGCTCATTATGTCAAAACTCAACACACAAGCCAATCAGACATAGCACTTGGAGATTAACAACTCACATATATGCCAAAATGAAACACTGCAATCAAAACTTAACACTCCTTTCTAAAAATGAAATTCTTGCAACAAAACCATACACACAAGCAACATTTGAATTACTCTTTCATATCACCAGCAACACACTGATGGGCTTTATATAAAACACTGCAGTCTTTGAGTTTCTATTTTTATTGTCATTTTATTGTCATTGTCTTCTGTAAAACTCAAAAGTAGAATTTCTGCAGTAATCAAACAGTATTTACAAAAAAGTTTTTACAAAAAAACAAACATTCTTACAGAAATTCTTAACATCAAATTTAGCAACAAAACAAAAGTAAAAAAAAAAAAAAAAATTACTGGATAAATTGCTATTGGGGGAAAAAACATACTTGTTTTGTGTGTGTGTGTGTGCGTGTGTGTGTGCGTGTGTGTGGTGGGGGGCGGGGGGGCTTATGGATCACGCCTTCTGTTCGGATCTGGCATCTGGCATCAAACTCCAGAACTGTCTGTAACAGAAAATATTGAATAGTGTTGCTGAAAACACATACAGTAACTACAATGTCTATATTTTCACACAAGTAGGGGCTGGGTTGGGTGAGTATAGACAAAAACTACAAGCTACAGGCAGGGCAGGTGGCAGCATAAACCCTCATTCCCACATCACAATATATAGTATGTCAAGTAAAGTGACACATACCTGCACATAATCATGGCGCAGATCCTTGACCCTGACACTGTTCCTCTCAAATGGCACCCTGTACAGCTGCTTCATTCTGAAGTTATGTTTCTGTAGGATGCGACTTAGTGTAGAAATGCTGACCCTGTTGATATTGTTGAATTCATTTCCATTTGCAATTATGCGTTGTTGCAACTCACGAAGTCGGATCGCATTATTTTCTCGCACCATTTCAATGATGGCAAGCTCTTGTTGTTGAGTGAAGAGCTGTTCCCTTCCACCTTGAGGAGGTCGTCCAACCATTCTGTAGAAAATGCCACCACAAGATGTCATTGGTTAGGTTTCTTTTTCACATACTGTACTTTCAAACTGTACACAGTACTGCAACATCACAATGGTATTCCTTTACATATACAGTACTTCACAGCACTACCCATTTTTGTATAGTATAGTTAGTACAGTAATACTGTAATATGATACAGAATCATGTGACACATACAGTAGGTACAGTCTGGAGTAGAAACTTGAAGATATACCTGTTCTCCAGTCGGAATGTCCTTATTATCGATGCTACTGTGTAGCGACTGAGGTTAGGGTGGACTCTTTGCCCAGCCTCCCTCATGGACAGGCCATGATTTATCACATGGTCCACCAGAGTAGCCCTGATGTCATCTGATATACGTCTCCGCACTGGTCCTCGTCCTCTTCCACGTCCTCTTCCACATCCGACTCCTCTCTCTCTTTGTCCTCCTCTTACTCTGACTCCAATTGCCTCCATGCTTGCAAAGTTCTAAAAATGGCTTACCTGAGGCCTATTTGTAGTGCTAAGGCTCAGACTGATTGGTGTTCTGTTTTCTGTGCAAGTGTTTTCAGGTGTGTGTATGTAAGTGCATACAATTGCCAGATGAGTTTTGCATTTTGAACAGAGTGTTTTCCCAATGATAACAGGTGATTTCGTTTTTTTGAACAAAGTGTCTAATGTAAGAAAACGTGTGTAGTGTTTCGCAATAAGTGTGTTACAGAATTGCAAACAAAGTGCAAAGTTGACATTGTGTTTAAGCTATGGTTACACTGTGTTTAAGGTATGCTACAAGGAGTTTAGGTATTGAGGCTTTGGTCTAAGCATTCGGTTTTAGTGTGTAAGCAATGGGCAAAAACTGTAACTTTACAAATGTCTATTGAAACAGCTGCATATAGTGTAGTAAAGTAAATTTGCATTACAAAAATACAGTAGTATACTGTACCTGTTCTCTTCTCTGAATGTCCTTACTATGGTGGACACAGAAAATCGTCTCAAATTGGGTTGCACTCTAAGTCCTGCTTCCCTCATTGTCAGTCCATGGAAAAGAACATGGTCTATGACTGTTGCTCAAATTTCATCAGATATTTCCACTCTTTGTCTTCCTCTTCCTCTTCATCCTCCTCTTCCTCTTTCTTGCCCTCCTCCTCCTCTTCCTCCTCGTCGCCCACCTCGAATACGCACTCGTCCTCATCCTCTCACATTGTTTCTTCTATCCATTCTCAGACTTTCTCCTTCCCACCTTCAACAACCTGTTTGCTCTCTGAACTGGCTTATATTGGTTGTGTCGCATCATTTGAAACAGGTTAAATCAATTTTGAGTGGTTGTGTTCAATGAATGACATGTGTTCTCTATTTGTATTTGATTGTTGCCACTTGTGTTTACCAGTATGGATGACATGTGCATTAGAGTGCAGAATGTGTTTTGAAAATGAGAATGTGTTTAGAGTTTTGCTGATAAGTGAGATCTGCAAATTGTGTTTTACCATGTGAAATGGTTTAAGGTTGTCACGCCCTGACTCAGGGGACGCTTATATGTTGAGTCAGGGTGTGTGTATTCCTTGTTGTGTTAGTTCTATGTTGTAGAATCTAGTATGTCTATTTCTATGTTGGCCGGTGTGGTTCCCAATCAGAGGCAGCTGTCGCTCGTTGTCTCTGATTGGGGACAATACTTAGGCAGCCTATTGGCACTAGAGGGTTGTGGGATCTTGTTCCGTGTTAAGGTATGTTGTGTTGTGCTGCCTTGGACTTCACGTTTCGTTGGTTTGTTGTTTTGTCGGTTGTTTATTCATTCAAATAAACATGTATGCATATCACGCTGCGCCTTGGTCTGACCCGTCGATGAACGAACGTGACAGAAGATCCCACCAAACGAGGACCAAGCAGCGTGCCCAGGAAGAGCGAATTGCCATGTCACAGGTGGGCAAATGGTGGTCATGGGAGGAGATATTTGCGGGGAAAGGGCCATGGGCAAAGGTAGATGCCCAGGGAGGAGAGGAGCAACGGCAGCACAGAGGAAGCCGGTCGAGGAAGAAGCCCGAGAGACAGCCCCAATATTTTTTTTTGGGGGGGGGCTAAGAGGGTGGTTGGCGGAGCCTAGGGTTAGAGCAGAGCCAACTGCCCGTACTCACGCGAGAAGGCGTATGACTGGGCAAGCTCCATGTTATGCGGAGCTACGTACTGTGTTGCCAGTGCGCCGGCACAGTCCTGTACGTCCTGTGCTTGCACCACGCACGTGCCGTGCGAAGATGGGCATCCAGCCAGGACGGGGTGTGCTGGCTCAACGCTCCTGGTCTCCAGTACGCCTCCTCGGTCCCGCATATCCTGCGCCAGTTCTACGAGTTGTATCGCCAGTGCGCGTGCACAAACCAGTGCGTCCTGTGCCAGCGCCCCGCACGTGTAGTGCGAAAGTGGGCAGCCAGCCAGGACGGGTTGTGCCAGCTCACTGCTCCAGACCTCCAGTCTGCCTTCGCAGCCCTGCCCGGCCTGTTCCTGTCCCTCGCACCAAGCTAGTGGTGCGCGTCGCCAGCCCGGTCCGGCCTGTTCCGGTCCCTTGCACCAAGCCAGTAGTGCACGTCGCCAGCCCGGCCCGGCCTGTTCCTGCCCCTCGCACCAAGCCAGTGGTGCGCGTCGCCAGCCCGGCCCGGCCTGTTCCTGCCCCTCGCACCAAGTCAATGGTGCGCGTCGCCAGCCCAGTACGGCCTGTTCCTGCACCTCGCACCAAGCCAGTGGTGCGTGTTCCTAGTCCGGTCCGGCCTGTGCCTGCTCCTCGCACCAGACCAGTGGTGCGTGTGTCCAGTCCGGCATGGCCCATGCCTGTTCCACCGGTGCCTGGTCCGGCACCGGTCAGCTGCTCCACTCCGGAGCCAGAGCAGTCCGCTCCACCGGTGCCTGATCCAGCTCCGGTTAGCTGCTCCACTCTGGAGCCAGAGCAATCCGCTCCACCGGGGTCCAGTCCAGCTCCGGTCAGCGGATCCACTCCGGAACCAGAGCAGTCCGCTCCACCGGTGCCCAGTTCAGCTCCAGTCAGCTGCTCCACTATGGAGCCAGAGAAATCCGCTCCACCGGGGTCCAGTCCAGCTCCGGTCAGCGGCTCCACTCCTGAGCCAGAGAAGTCCGCTCCACCGGTGCCTGATCCAGCTCCGGTCAGCGGCTCTACTCCGGAGCCAGAGCAGTTCGCTCCACCGTCGTCGGGTTCAGCTCCAGTCAGCGGTTCCAGTCCAGACCCAGACGTCAGCCCCTCTCCAGGTTCGGGGTCTCTCACACCAGGGTCCAGACAGGGCTTGGTACTTCGTGGGAGGAAGGAGAGGGCAAGCAGCTCGCCGAGGTCCAGACCAGACCAGGGGCGCAACAGGGAGGCGGAGAATAGGTGGTGGTCAAGCCCGGAGCCGGATCCGCCCCTACCCTGTTATGTTTATGTTGCGCGGTCGGAGTCCGCACCTTTGGGTGGGGGTACTGTCACGCCCTGACTCAGGGGACGCTTATATGTTGAGTCAGGGTGTGTGTATTCCTTGTTGTGTTAGTTCTATGTTGTAGAATCTAGTATGTCTATTTCTATGTTGGCCGGTGTGGTTCCCAATCAGAGGCAGCTGTCGCTCGTTGTCTCTGATTGGGGACAATACTTAGGCAGCCTATTGGCACTAGTGGGTTGTGGGATCTTGTTCCGTGTTAAGGTATGTTGTGTTGTGCTGCCTTGGACTTCACGTTTCGTTGGTTTGTTGTTTTGTCGGTTGTTTATTCATTCAAATAAACATGTATGCATATCACGCTGCGCCTTGGTCTGACCCGTCGATGAACGAACGTGACAAAGGTATTGACAACAGACTGCATAATTAGCTAAATGAGTCCAGGCAACTGAGAACTTTGAACAGCCAATGGGTTTTAGTGTTTTAGCAATTGAGAAAAACTGTAAATGCTTTGAGAGCTCATTGGTATTAGTGTGTGGTGTTTGGCTGTGGCTGAGCCCCTGGTGTGAGATATAGAGGGAGGGATGGGGGGAGAGAAAGGGATAGAGAGAGAGAGGGATGGATGTGGAAAGAGAAGATAAGAGGAGAACAGAGACTGAGGGACCCACATCACTAGCCTCACATTACCCTTTCATTGTCTCTGAGACAGAGGAAAGAGAGACAGAAGAGAGAGAGAGAGACAGAGAGAGAGACAGAGAGACAGAGAGAGATGAATGCTGTAAGAGGCCCAGCATGTGTTGTTTATGAGTCTGCCATTCTTTTAATTGACAAAAAAATATGAACTCTAATGTATGTCCCTCCGGTACCTTCTCTATCCACTACCACCCCTACACATCCACAGACACCCCTACACACATCCCTACACACCTCTACACATCCCTACACACCTTTACACACCCCTACACCCCCTACACACCCCTAGACACCTTTACACACCCCTACACAACCCTAAAACCCCTACACATCCCTAGACACCCCTACACACACCATATACATCCCTACACACCTTTACACACCCCTACACATCCCTAGACACCCCTACACAACCCTACACATCCCTAGACAACCCTACACATCCCTACACATCCCTACACATTCATACACACCTTTACACACCCCTAAACAACCCTAAATCCCCTACACATCCCTACACACCCGTAAACACCCCTACACATCCCTAGACAACCCTACACATCCCTACACACCCCTACACATCCATACACACCTTTATACACCCCTAAACAACCCTAAATCCCCTACACGCCCGTAAACACCCCAACACATCCCTAGACAACCCTACACATCCCTACACACCCCTACACATCCATACACACCTTTACACACCCCTAAACAACCCTAAATCCCCTACACATCCCTACACATCTCTATCTCTCTGAAGGGCCATGATAACTAGAGGAGATTAACCAATACAATAGTGCTGTAGCTAGAGTCTGCATGGGAGGGGTGAGTGGGACTCTCCATCATGTTGATGGTGTTTGTGCATTTTGTGTTGTGTTGTCTGTGTGTGTGTGTGTGTGTGTGCGCATGCGTATGTGTGTCTCTCTATCCTGGTGATGAGTTTATAGATGGAACAGCAATATACTATCACCTACACTGACAATAGCAATATAAATCACACTGTAGGGTTCCTGTAGCCCAGAGAGAGAGAGAGAGAGAGATTGAGGGGAGGGAGAGAGGGGGAGGGAGAAGGAGAGAGAGAAAGGAGAGAGAGAGAGATTGAGGGGAGGGAGAGAGGGGGAGGGAGAAGGAGAGAGAGAAAGGAGAGAGAGAGAGATTGAGGGGAGGGAGAGAGGGGGAGGGAGAAGGAGAGAGAGAAAGGAGAGAGAGAGGGATTGAGGAGAGGGGGAGGGGATACAGAGAGGGCTGTGGGTTTCTAAGTAGATTAACAATAATATGCAGTATAGTATAAAGCTATGGATAAGCATCAGAAGATACTGAAGAATCACATTAGGAAAAGATAGAAGAGTGCACGGAAATACACACCATCAACAACACACACACCTTTTAGTAAGGAAGACTTGTCCAAATTTCCCTCAAGTGTGTGTGTGTATGCTTGAATGCCTGACTGTTATTGCTTTGCATTGCATCATATATCAAAGTCTAGATGTGTAATCTGATGTTGAATCTACAGTCTCTCACCGTCTAGGCTTTGTTTGACAGAGACTGTGTTTGGAGTTTGACTGAAACTTTGTTTGAGTGAAACTTTGTCTACACACACACACACCCCCCCCCCCCATGGGACACACAATGGTACGGCCGCATGACCCTGGCACCATCTGCTCATAATAGAGCCATGGCGCTCCCTACCACCGAGAAGGGAGATTAAAACAATGGCCGCGCCCCTAATGGCCCCTTATTCACTACATAGTACACTACTTTGAACAGAGCCTTATGGGGCAATACAGGGAAGAGGGTATCATTTGGGATGCAGACAATGTGCTGGAGAACTGAACAGATAGAAACACCGCTACATGTCAGCGTGAGAAGTAATTAACCCTTTCATTGCAAAACACATCTTCTCCCAGTTGCAATTAGATGAATGGGTTTTGTCAGCTCACGCAGTGAAACTGCTGATGTGGGACATGGCCTTGTATGTGACAACTGCTGATGTGGGACAAAATGGCAGCCATGTATCACCCAGGTGGGCCATTGCGATGTTGAGCTTAATTCAGACTTAATCTCTGACTGGGTTAAAGTTCCTTTTACAACAAACTTAGGATCAGCTCTCTGGACAAGCTTCTTTTTTTGGGTTCTGACAGAAGAACTAAGCTCATGGGGCATTTATAAGTTATATTCTTCAAGAATCAATGGGTACATATTAAAAATGTATAAATCCAAAGATGGATATCGCAACTGCAGATTGCCCTTTTAAGAAAATCAGCCATATGGTTAAAATTTCTGAGTTTGTAAAGTGAAGAAATAGCCTAAGCACTGTAAAACATAGAAGAGTTCAGCACCATGGAAAGTGGATGTAACTGTGAGTGTATAAAGGCAAGTCTACTACAGTGTAAAACATAGGAGAGTTCAGCACCATGGACAGTGGATGTAACTGTGAGTTTATAAAAGGTCAGTCCACTACGACGTAAAACACACACACACAGATGGTCTCCAGATATAGACCTTTGACCTCTAGGTCTACTCAACCTCTCTGTCGCAACTGTTGTTTACCCACAATGCAAAGGGACAAGGACCCCTGAGGAATGTAACACTTTTCAAAAAGATTCCCCTAATCCCGTATCTCTCACCTCCCTTGGAGCGTGGTTGGTGCAATGTTTACATGTGTTTTGTGGTGGTGGTTGTGGTGTTTGGGTTTATGTCATTGTTTGTTTGATGTGGTGTGTTTTGGAGTGTGTGGGTTTATGTGCATGGGTTGTGTGTTATGTTTTGGTAGGGGGGGGTTTAATTGGGCCCCGTTTGGTTGTATTTTCTGGGGTATATTTTTCACCATTTTAGCCAGAACTGTTTCTATCTGTTACTGTTTCCTAGCGCTATCTGTTCTTACGTACTGTTCTAGCATTCAGTATCGTAATCTTTGTTTCCTGCATTCCTGTATCTATCCCTATTTTTCTGCAGTTACTGTTCTTACTGTTTTCCAGCGATTTATACTGGTTCTTTCTGTTCCTAGCAGTTACTGTATCTATATCGATGTTTCAGCAGTTCTGTATTATATACTACTTTTTCCTAGCAGTATACTTACAACTCTACTGTTCTAGCAGTATACTGTACTATACGTACTGTTTCCTAGCAGTAAATTTTATATATACCTACTGTTTCCTAGCAGTAACGGATCTATACTCATGTTTCTAGCAATTTTGTATAACTCTAAGTTTCCTAGCAGTATATGATCTATAACTCTACGGTTTCCTAGCAGTATACTGTTCTATCTGTACTGTTTTCCTAGCAGTATATGTACTATATGTAAATTTTTCCCCAGCAGTAACTGTATCTATACTGTACTGTTTCCCAGCAGTAATGTATATAAACCCTAAAAACCTTTCCAGCAGTATACTGTATCTATACTGTACTGTTTCCTAGCAGTATACTGTATCTATAACTTATGATTTCCCAGCAGTATAAATGATCTATACTTAAATGTTTCCTAGAAGTACGTAAACTATACTGTTTGTTTCTGGCAATACTGTATCCTACGTACTGTTTCCTAATATACTGATCCTATGTATGTTTCCAAGATACGTTCGATAAATGCATGTTTCCTAGCAGTATACTGGGGGATCTATACTGCACTGTTTGCTAGCAGATTGTGTATCTGATAGCGTGTACTGTTTCCTAGCGTATCTGGTTTATGCGACTGTTTCCTAGCAGTTTCCTGTATCTATACCCTACTGTTTCCTAGCAGTATACTGTATCTATACCCTACTGTTCCTAGCAGTATACTGTATCTATACTGTACTGTTTCCTACTTTTCCCTTTTTTAAACCCTACTTTTTTCCTAGCAGAACTGTATCAATTAAACGTTTCCTAGCAGTAACTTTACTATTCAAACGGTTTCCTACAGTTACTGTATTTTAAAAACCTACGTTTCCTAGAAATTTCTGTTCTTACGCACTGTTCCTACATTTCTGATCTATACCCTTTTTCCCTGCAGTATACTGTACTATATGTACTTTTCCTAGCAGTATATGTATCTTCGTCTGTTTCCTAGCAGATACTGTATTATACCTATTTTTTTCCCTACGTATACTGAAATCTAAAACCCTACTTTTTTCCTAGATATACTGTACTACTGTATTTTTTCCTACATATTTATCTATCTGTATTTTTTTCCAGCGTATCTGTATCTAACTCACTTTTTCCTACATATACTGTTTAAAAACCCACATTTTCCTACAATCTGTACTATATGTACTTTTTCCTAGCGTATACGTATCTATACTGTATTTTTCCCTAGCATTTTCCTGAATCAAATCCCCACGTTTCCTAGCAGTATTTTTATCTTATTTAAACTTTTTTCCTAGCAGTATACTGTACCCTATACTCTATTTTCCTAGCAGTATACGTATCTATACTGTATGTTCCTGCATATACGTATCTATACGTACTGTTTCCTAGCAAAACGTATCAAACCCCTACTTTTTCCTACAGTATCGTTCTATCCCTACTTTTTTCCTGCATATCCTGTTTTATACCCTATTTTTTCCTAGCATATCTGACAAACGGTACTTTTTTCCAGCAGATATGTAGTATCTCATACTTAGTTTCCTAGCAGTATACTGTATCTATACTGTACTGTTTCCTAGCAGTATACTGTATCTATACTCTACTGTTTCCTAGCAGTATACTGTATCTATACTCTACTGGTTTCCTAGCAGTATACAGTATCTCGGGTCAGATTGTTATTTGACTCCTGATGGTTTGAGGTCAGCGGTTTGGCACAGAGAGCTGGGGGCAGACTGTGGTACACACACAGGTACACACACACAAGCAGGCAAGCACAAACGCAAACAAACACACACAGTGGCTGTGTTGACAGTGAGGATTTATGTCTGGTCGTTGCAGCGACTCCATTTCCCAGATTAGAGTGGTGTAAAGGCTCGGGGGTTAGCAGATTCATACACACACACACACACACACATCCTCAACCATACTTCATCTATCTGTTAGTGTGTGTTACAATCTATCATATCCTATCTATCTGTTACTGTGTGTTACAATCTATCATATCCCATCTATCAGTTAGTTTGTGTTACAATATATAATATCCTTTCTATCTGTTACTGTGTGTTACAATATATCATATTCAATCTATCTGTTACTGTATGTTACAATATATCATATCCCATCTATCTGTTACTGTGTGTAATACAGTCTACTACACTATAGAAGAACGATAGATAACACACACACAGATAACGCTGAGTGGACTGAATAGAGAAGTGAACTGAGCCCAACCCCTCCATATTGTCACATGGGCCTGATATAAACTATGCAGACAATGTGTAGCACTGTCTTTATGTAACGCATGGCTTGAGTCAAGCAACACAACAGTAGGTAGACTCATTTTTAACTTAGGATCGGCAATAGCTGTACGCTGCCTATTAATTGTTGATTTGTTAGTTTGTTATTGTTTTTGTTTTGTAATCAAGGGGGACGAGTCCTTCACTCGACCCAGGATGGCGCTACACACCCACCCGTTAAATAAATCATTTTCTGTAGCTTGTATAGCCTACATAACATTTGCTTCACTTGATCTAACGGATAAACCTAACGGTTTATTGGCACTGCATTGGTGGGAGAGAATGGGACGGTTCTGTCTAACGGTTCACGGTGTCCCGTTTGAAATCAAAGCAATAAGGTCTATCTGATTGCAAAGTGGACACTGCCGGGTAGGCTACACGTCAAGCTGGCTATATAGAACAACAATCCATTCACAGAGAAAAGGATTTCACTCAAACCGCTGTATATTAGGCCCTGCAGTTTCTGTAGCGTTGACTATGAAGCGCATCGTATCCCTTCTGCCTACCTTCAATAGTGGCGACGCCGACCGACAACCACAACAGCCACAACACTGCAACCGCAAACTTCATGCTCCTTCTTCGCGCGGCTCCAGTTACACGTTCCCGTTCAGGTCGTCTTCAATGTGCGTTATATCATCTTCTGCGTACACAAATCCGTCCGTAGCACTTCGCAGGTGAACAATAATCAGTCGGTCGGTAGCCTAGACTGGTGTAACTACGGGACGCGCGTTGCCCGCTTCGGAACGATGTAACGACTAAATTATGAAGGAAGGACGGGAAGAAAACGACGCTATTGTTGCTCCATTTTGTCCGACAACGACTGTTTTACCGGGGCAGGACTTCTTATTTGTGAGTTTCCCCTAAGGGTTTCCATTTGTGTCCCGGTGTGGATGCTCGAGCAAGCCGACCTAGTGCACGCGCTCAAAATTCGGTGTTCGGTAGGGGGGGCTGGCCAGCGGCGGATGAGGGAGGAGAGACGGCGGAATGTGATGGAGACAGGGGGAGCGGGTGGCGTATGTGTGTTCTATAATAACGGAGGAATATGGCGGTACCGGGGTAGAATGGAGATCTTACTCCTCCGGGGTAGACTATCACGCACTAGCCTACAATCTAAAAAGAAAAGGATCCTGGAGTATCATTTAAGGGTTCTTCAAATTGAAACTGTGGGGGAACTCCTATAAGTTCTTTAAAGGACCCTTTAAAAAGGTTCTTCAAAGAACCCCTTTCAATGGATCCCCGAAGAACCTTTTGAAGAACCTTTTGGGGTTCATTTTTGAACTACCCCCCTCCCCTGTTATTATTAGTATTAATAATAATAATAATAAAAATACACATAACAATAACAACAATAACACAATATTTTAGTTCTCAGTGTTTCATATGATTTCAGTGACAAAGCAGAATAAAAAAATCCAAAATATGAGGTAAACTCCCAGCAGAGCCCCAAGTCCAATGGATATATCCTCTGGCGTGTTGATGGTAATGTGTTGAAGTTCTCCGTATTCATAGCCAGAATGATTTTTGCAGTGCATGGTGATCGAACAGGTTTCCTGTTATATTCATCAGAGGTGTAGGGAGGGTGAAGTCTGTGAATCAAAAAAATAGTAATTATACAGATGATTAGCAAAACATGCACACAGCAGTATTCATACCGTGGTTTATGTGGTGAATGTGAATGAAACAAATTGTTTTCAGAAGGGTTTTCATACACATACCTTGTCCATAATGTAGAGGCCTATGGGATATTAATTGAAGAGGTAAGGGAGGAGGATGGTAAATGTGATCTGCATAACATACCAATACCAATTGACATACCTTTGTATGCCTCCTCGTCTGTATACCTACAGACACAAAAGCGAGCAGTTCAGTTATCTACATCCAATACAGCTAGCCTTCAACATATTCTTATAGCCTACATATTCTTACCTCTTTGTTGATTGATATCCATTGAATTGTGTCGATTTTCTGTTTTAGAAAGATTTTCACAAATATGAAAAGATAGATGTAATCATCATAAAACAATATCAATGCATCATATAAGGGACAAACCTTACCTTACATTGAGGAGATCTTTACATTGTTGAGTTAAGTGCCTGCAACTGCTGTGCTTTCAAATTAAAATCAAAATGTTTCAGTTGGGCAGTTAGGTTCCTGCAAGAACCCCTACCAACTAAGGAGGTTCCTCGATGAACCCCACCTCCTATGGGGTTCTTGGACAAACCTTTTTGGGGCAATTTTCAGTGCCAAGAACCCTAAGGTTCTTCGAAGAACTTTGAGGATCGTAGAAGAACCCTTGTTGAACCCCTAATTTTTTGAGTGTACAATACAGTAGCCAACAAAAGTTGTAGAATTTGGTCAATGTCATCTTTCTAACTCATTAGTAGGCTATAGCCAAATGGTTCCTACGGACTAGTTATATTAGTCTACATTATAGCCTAATATTCCCAAGGTTGTTGCCTATTGATTGCCTATTAAGTACAATTATTGTAGGGTTAAATTAGTACCTGGATATCGCCTATTGTATTCACCCTTTCCTCACTTTACAGACCCCCGTTGACCTTATCATCCACTTATTGACCCAGACTAAAATATACTATGTAGGATTCATTTTTCATAGCCTAATTGTAGCCTACACATTTTACAAAACCATCCCTTCAGGAATCACCAGTCACATTTTAATGAGAAATGACCCAGGACCACCAGTGACCTAAAGGGGCCACTGACACACACCACACACCACACCCACACACACACACACACACACACGGTTTTACAAGCAGTGAGAATCCCTATGGCAGTAAATCCCCAGTCAGTGTAACTTCACACGTTATCCGATGTAACGAAGGACCCGTCTCTTAAATCATTAGCGTCATTTACAGGACCTTTCAAAGCGCCATTAGACTACAGTATAGACCATTTACAGGACCTTTTAAAGCACCATTAGACTACAGTATAGACCATTTACAGGACCTTTCAAAGCACCATTAGACTACAGTATAGACCATTTACAGGACCTTTCAAAGCACCATTAGACTACAGTATAAACCATTTACAGGACCTTTCAAAGCACCATTAGACTACAGTATAAACCATTTACAGGACCTTTCAAAGCGCCATTAGACTACAGTATAGACCATTTACAGGACCTTTCAAAGCGCCATTAGACTACAGTATAGACCATTTACAGGACCTTTCAAAGCGCCATTAGACTACAGTATTGACCATTTACAGGACCTTTCAAAGCGCCATTAGACTACAGTATAGACCATTTACAGGACCTTTCAAAGCGCCATTAGACTACAGTATAAACCATTTACAGGACCTTTCAAAGCGCCATTAGACTACAGTATAGACCATTTACAGGACCTTTCAAAGCACCATTAGACTACAGCATAAACCATTTACAGGACCTTTCAAAGCACCATTAGACTACAGCATAAACCATTTACAGGACATTTTAAAGCACCATTAGACTACAGTATAGACCATTTACAGGACCTTTCAAAGCACCATTAGACTACAGTATAAACCATTTACAGGACCTTTTAAAGCACCATTAGACTACAGTATAAACCATTTACAGGACCTTTCAAAGCACCATTAGACTACAGCAGAGTCATATATTAATTCGTAATATATGTCTCTGGGATACAGTATAGATCTGTGGGTTGACAGGACTAACCCTAACCTACCTGTACGGCAGGTAGCCTAGTGGTTAGAGCATTGGGCCAGCAACCGAAAACTCGCTAGCTCAATTCCCCGAGCCGACAAGGTGACAAATCTGTCACTGTGCCCTTGAGCAAGGCACTTAATCCTAATTGCTCCAGGGTCGCCATTGATAATGGCTAACCCTGACCCCATTCTCCGAGGGTGTCACAGGGGGAGTTAGGATATGCACACAAAAAAAAATGTAATCAATTTCACACAGAAATACTTGTACATGTGTGAAACAGGACAAATATAAGCACCCACATTATTATCAACTTAACATCTGCTGAATGTTACCAGTAATATGGAGTATGGTCTGTGACAGACGGGAACACAGCTGGCCAGGGCCCAGGACTCAGCAAGATGTGGTTATGAGTGCTTAGATCTCATGGAGTATACCTCCGTATAGAACCGTGTTCTCATCTCAACTGGTTTTACTGGCACTCCTAAAGTACCATTAACTGTATAGACGGTCTAGCTACTCTAAACTGTATTGGACTGTACCTCTATTTAGATTAGTGCACATGTTCTGAGAATCCACAGCACACCGGACATGATGAGCAGATAATGTCCATGTACCGTACAGCACCTCCCTGGAAAGTGGATTAAGTACAGGAGATATCTATCCAGGGTGTTTACAGACAGACAGTGGAAAATGATGTTCTCATATTCTGTTCCCTCTCTTGTTGTATTCTCTTCTGTTCATGTATTGGTTGGTGGACTTCCAGACTTGTGGAATGTTAGTATGCTGTAAATGGAATGTTAGCAGTGAATAGAAGGTTGATGGTAAATATGATTGTGTGCAGTGGGTAGAATCACTCGAATGCATGCTGGATGTCAACAGCAACAGAATGTTCGTTTTGAGTAGAATGTTCAATGCTAACATTCCACAAGTCTGGAAGTCCACCAACCAATACATGAACAGAACAGAATGCAACAAGAGAGTGAACAGAATATGAGAACATCATTTTCCACTGTCTGTCTGTAAACACCCTGGATAGATATCTCCTGTACTTAATCCACTTTCCAGGGAGGTGCTGTACGGTACATGGACATTATCTGCTCATCATGTCCGGTGTGCTGTGGATTCTCAGAACATGTGCACTAATCTAAATAGAGGTACAGTGCAATACAGTTTAGAGTAGCTAGACCGTCTATACAGTTCATGGGAAATATAACCTTTGCTATGGATAAAATGCATGCTAGCCGCACCAACAACAGAATGTTAGATTTGACTAGAATTCTCATTGTAAATAGAATGTTGTGCTGTGGATAGAATGCATGCTGGATGTCAACAACAACACAATGTTAGCTCAACTGAAGTGAAAAATATATGTCTGGTACATTAACTACAGGGAGAGAGTTAACAGCATAGTGAATCAGTAGGCTACAGTGCATAGCTAAGAGGAGGAGGGAGTTATCCCCGCTTCATTTGGGCCATGTTTAATTCATTCTGGCTATTAAAGGGAGAAGTAGAGTCGTAAACAACGCATGCTGGGCCGACAAAGGAAATCTCTCTCTCTGTGTTCTCTCTCTCTCTCTCTCTCTCTCTCTCTCTCTCTCTCTCTCTCTCTCTCTCTCTCTCTCTCTCTCTGAATTCAATTTAAATTCAAGGGGCTTTGTTGGCATGGGAAACATATGTTTACATTGCCAAAGCAAGTGAAATAGATAATAAACAAAAGTGAAATAAACAATAAAACATGAACAGTAAACATTACACTCACAAAAGTTCCAAAGGAATAAAGATGTGCAAATAGTTCAACTACAAAAGGGAAAATAAATCTCTCTCTCTCTCTCTCTCTCTCTCTCTCTCTCTCTCTCTCTCTCTCTCTCTCTCTCTCTCTCTCTCTCTCTCTCTCTCTCTCGGTTTCCTCTCTCTCTCTCTCTCTCTCTTTCTCTCTCTCTATCTGCTAATTAAGAGTGGGCTAACAACAGCTGGGGGTAACAGCAAGGGGTACCACTCTACACACACACACACACATATACACACATACACACACTAATTAAATACAAACACTTTCGTGAGGACAATTTAACGCTTTGGATCGTCTCGGCACGGACGTTTCTATTGGACCACAGTTCTCATCAGTCATGTTGAAGCTGACAGACCCTGCCCTGAGGGAACCCAGCCCCAGCCCAACACACACAAACAACTCAGTTCATGTGTTTAAAAAAAAAACAATCGTACAAAATGATGGGCTGTTGTCAATTCAATAAATTATTTTTGAATTAATCTCTGGAATGTAAATGTAAATGGCATTGACGAGCCCAGCCCTGGTTTGTCTTTCAGTATTAAATACTGTCTGGGATGGGCTGGAATGGGATGGGCTAGATTTATAGATAGCTGTAATCATATAAACTGTTGCTCTCTCACTGCTGTTAAGAGCCTGGCAGAGGGTAGCTTTAGCTGAGTCAGAACTCTCTCTCTCTCTCTCACACACACACACACACACACTCTCTCTCTCTCTCTCTCTCAATGGGCACCTTATTCCCTATTGCAGGGTTCCCCAACTGGTGGCACCCCAGCAGAATTTGGCCCGCGGGTGATTTTATTTGGCCCGCCAAGTTTTCTGAGCAAAAAATATAAAAAATATGTTTTATTGTTGGACATAAAATACTTTAAAAACAGCAGCAAATCAGCTCCAAGTGATATACATTTTGGAAATCTGTTTCAAAATATTCCCACGGATAATAGAGATGTGTATGCGATAGAATACAAATGTAAGCAAGGTTTGAAATTATTATGTTTTAGTCAATTTGCAGTCTGCAAATTATTTGTAATTATGTTCTGTCCCCCTGACCATCCGCTCAAGAGAATAATTGGCCTGCGGGTGAAACTAGTCGATGATCTCTGCCCTATGGAATGCCCTACTTTTGACCATGGCAATATTATAATGATATTATTATAATGTTATTATTACCATGCTATTATTACCATGTTATTATTATAATGTTATTACTATCATGTTATTATTATCATGTTATTATTATCATGTTATTACTATCATGTTATTATTACCATGTTATTATTATAATGTTATTACTATCCTGTTATTATTACCATGTTATTATTATAATGTTATTACTATCATCTTATTATTATCATGTTATTATTATCATGTTATTACTATCATGATATTATTACCATGTTATTATTATAATGTTATTACTATCATGTTATTATTATAATGTTATTACTATCATGTTATTATTATCATGTTATTATTATCATGTTATTATTATAATGTTATTACTATCATGTTATTATTATCATGTTATTATTATCATGTTATTATTATCATGTTATTACTATCATGTTATTAATATCATGTTATTACTATCATGTTATTACTATCATGTTATTAATATCATGTTATTACTATCATGTTATTACTATCATGTTATTATCATCATGTTATTACTATCATGTTATTATTATGAAGTTATTCATCCTGCTGTACAGGTTTTATTACTCTTCCTGTTGTTGGGAAAATGACTGACTTGTGACACACACACACACACACACACACACACACACACACACACACACACACACACACACACACACACACACACACACACACTCACTCACTCACTCATTCACTCACTCACTCACTCACTCACTCACTCACTCACTCACTCACTCACTCACTCACTCACACACTCACTCACACACTCACTCACTCACACACACACAGACACACACACAGACACACACACACACACACACACACACACACAATCCCCATAGAGCTTTCACATCTGCGTGATGTCCAGACTGATGTACAGAATGACAAGCTATCATTTCCTGTGATTTTTATCTCAACAGCCATGTTCAACTTCCATCTGGAAATAGACAATGATAATGTTGTTCTCTGACCCTCACTTCCAACCGGGGGTTCATCCTAAATGGCAACCAATTTCCTATTTAGTGCAATACAGTAGTGCTTTTGTCAAAAGTAGTGCACTATATAGGGAATAGGGTGGCATTTGGAATGCAGCCCTGGTGTTTCAGGAGGCCACATCTGAGTGCTGTTATCAGAAATGTCTGTTGTTGATTTGTTGTTTTATTGATTTATTGATATTTTATTTAGTTTGTTCGAATGACCAGATACTAGACTGGTATATTCTACCCAATGACCTGATAATAGAGTCTATATATTCTAACCAATGACCTGATAATATAGTCTATATATTCTAACCAATGACCTGATAATAGAGTCTATATATTCTAACCAATGACCTGATAAAAGAGTCTATATATTCTAACCAATGACCTGATAATAGACTGTTATATTCTAACCAATGACCTGATAATAGACTGGTATATTCTAACCAATGACCTGATAATAGACTGGTATATTCTAACCAATGACCTGATAATAGACTGGTATATTCTAACCAATGACCTGATAATAGACTGGCATATTCTAACCAATGACCTGATAATAGAGTCTATATATTCTAACCAATGACCTGATAATAGAGTCTATATATTCTAACCAATGACCTGATAATAGACTGGTATATTCTAACCAATGACCTGATAATAGACTGGTATATTCTAACCAATGACCTGATAATAGAGTCTATATATTCTAACCAATGACCTGATAATAGACTGGTATATTCTAACCAATGACCTGATAATAGAGTCTATATATTCTAACCAATGACCTGATAATAGACTGGTATATTCTAACCAATGACCTGATAATAGACTGGTATATTCTAACCAATGACTTGATAATAGAGTCTATATATTCTAACCAATGACCTGATAATAGACTGGTATATTCTAACCAATGACCTGATAATAGACTGGTATGTGCTAACCAATGACCTGATAATAGACTGGTATATTCTAACCAATGACTTGATAATAGAGTCTATATATTCTAACCAATGACCTGATAATAGAGTCTATATATTCTAACCAATGACCTGATAATAGACTGGTATATTCTAACCAATGACCTGATAATAGACTGGCATAGGGTGACCTTCTGGATCAAACAGTGAGAGGAAAACTAAACCAACTGAATTGAAATGAAAGCAATCGCACAACGCGAAGTAACAAACATTGTGTGTGTGTGTGTGTGTGTGCGCGTTTCGATGCAAGCATCTGCCCTGTCACCAGGGGGTTGTATTTACTGCTGGGTGACACGCAGACACACACACACTGGTGACACACACACTCAAACACACAGTGTGTGTGTGTGTGTGCTTGTGTGTGTGTGTGAGTTTGTGAGTGTTTTGTGTGTGTGTGAGTGTGTGAGTGTGTGAGTGTGTTGTGTGAGTGTGTGAGTGTGTTAGTGCTGTGTGTGTGTGAGTGTGTTCTTGTGTGTGTGTGTGAGTGTGTGTGTGCGTGTGTGAGTGCTGTGTGTGTGTGAGTGTGTGCTTGTGTGTGTGTGAGTGTGTGAGTGCGGTGTGTGTGTGTGAATGTGTGAGTGCTGTGTGTGTGTGTTTCATGGGTTAATGCTGGAGGATTTAGAGGCTACACTAAAACACTTCATCACTCTCAGGCCATTTGATAATTAGCAAGTGTCCAAGCAACTGCAATACTGTCAACGCTCCAGATTTACACACTGTGTCAGTACACTGTGTGTGTGTGTGCTGTGTAAGGTGCACTGCATTCATTATCAGTATGAAACAGTGTAAATCACATCTTCAGTGAATACCCCTTTAAAGCGATGGTCTGCGATTTTTACAACACATTGGAACTTTTCAATTAATGATACATAGCCATTGATTCTTGAAGAATTTAATGTAACAAAACAACTGACAGGGCAGCTTTAAAGGGACTTATTAGACAACGTTGTTATGTAATTGTTTAAGATAGATACTGCATGGTCGGTCAGTGGGTAGAGCTGATGAGAGGTACATCCTGTGCCCGTTCAGAGAAAAAGACACACACATCATCAAACAGGTAAAGCGTCAATAACTGACTAAGATTGTATCCTACTACACCGGCTCTGACACTCATTGGATGTGGCAGGGCTTGCAAACTATCACGGATTACAAGGGAAACCCAGCCCCATGCTGCCCAGTGATGCGAGCCTACCAGATGAGGTAAATGCCTTCTATGCTCGCTTCGAGGCAAGCAACACTGAACCATGCGTGAGAGCACCAGCTGTTCAGGATGACTGAATGATCACGCTCTCCGTAGCCAATGTGAGTAAGAGTTAACATTCACAAGGCCGTAGGGCCAGAGGGATTACCATGACGCGTACTCAGAGCATGCGCTGACCAGCTGGAAAATGTACTCATATACCTACATGTTTCAAGAAGACTACCATAGTCCCTTTGCCCAAGAACATCAAGGTAACCTATCTAAATGACTATTGCCCCGTAGCACTCAAATCTGTAGCAACTAAATGCTTTGAAAGGCTGGTCATGGCTCACATCAATACCATCATCCCAGACACCCTGGACCCACTCCAAATCGCATACCGCCCCAACAGATCCACAGATGACGCAATCTCTATTGTACTCCACACTGCACTTTCCCACCTGGCCAAGAGGAACACCTATGTGAGAATGCTGTTCATTGACTACAGCTCAGTGTTCAACACCAAAGTGCCTGCCTTCCAAGCTCATCACAAAGCTAAGGACCCTGGGACTTAACACCTCCCTCTACAACTGAATCCTGGACTTCCTGGCTGGGCGCCCCCAGGTGGTGAGGGTAGGCAACAACACGCCCCACGTTGACCCTCAACATGGAGGCCCCTCAGGGATGCGTGCTTAGTCCCCTCCTGTACACCCTGAGTAGCCGCGCACGAATCCAACACCATCATTAAGTTTGCCGATGACACAACGGTGGTAGGCCTGATCACCAACAACGATGAGACAGCCTACAGGGAGGAGGTCAGAGACCTGGTAGCATGGCACCAGGACAACAACCTCTTCCTCAACGTCCCCAAGACAAAGGAGCTGATCGTGGACTGCTGGAAATGGAGGGCCGAGCACACTCCCGTTCACATTGATGGTGCTGTGGTGGAGCGGGTCGAGAGCTTCAAGTTCCTCGGTGTCCACATCAATAAGGATTTATCACGGTCTACACACACCAACACAGTCGTGAAGAGGGCATGACAACACCTCTTACCCCTCAGAAGGCTGAAAATATTTCACAAGGGCCCTCAGATCCTCAAAAAGCTATACAGCTGCACCATTGAGAGCATCTTGACTGGCTGCATCATCGCTTGGTATGGCAACTGCTTGGCATCCGACCGCAAGGCGCTACAGAGGGTAGTGCGTACGGCCTAGTACATCACTGGAGCTGAGCTCCCTGCCATCTAGGATCTCTATACCAGGCGCTGTCAGAGGAAGGCCCTAAAAATGTTCATTGACTCCAGCCACCCAAGTCATAGACTGTTTTCTCTGCTACAGCACGGAAAGCAGTACCGATGCACCAATTCTGGAACCAACAGGACGCTGAACAGCTTCTATCCCCAAACTATAAGACTGCTAAATAGTCTTCATTGACTCTTTTTGCGTTCACTTTTTTGACTCATCACATACGCTGCAGCTACTGTTGACCATCTGTCACTTTATTCCTCATTATATGTACATATCTACCTCAATTACCTCGTATCCCTGCACATCAACTCGGTACTGGTACCCCGTGTATATAGCCAAGTTATCATTACTCATTATGTATCTATTATTACTTTGATTATTACATGTTTTACTTTTCTATTATTTCAACAACAAAAAAAATCTCTCTGCATTGTTGGGAACAGCCCATCAGTAAGCATTTCACTGTTAGTCTACACCTGTTGTTTACCAAGCATGTGACTAATAACATCTTGATTTGATTTGACACAAACACAAATGTCTGCATGTGAACTGCACACACACACATACATTTACATTTTAGCAGACGCTCTTATCCAGAGCGACTTACAGTTAGTGAATACATATATATATTATTTTATACTGGCCCCCCGTGGGAATCGAACCCACAACCCTGGCGTTGCAAACGCCATGCTCTATCAACTGAGCTACATCCCTGCCGGCCATTCCCTCCCCTACCCTGGACGACGCTGGGCCAATTGTGCGCCGCCCATGAGTCTCCCGGTCGCGGCCGGCTGCGACAGAGCCTGGATTCGAACCAGGATCTCTAGTGGCACAGTTAGCACTGTGATGCAGTGCCTTAGACCACTGCGCCACTCAGGAGACACATGCATGTTGACACACACGCACACAAAGGCACACAAACACACCTCCCTGTGGAGGACAGAACAGTAGCAGGTGCTAGAGAGTCAGTGTGACTGAATGACCGGCATCTCTAACACGAACACACACAAACACACACACACACACACACACACACACACTAGCTAACTGGACAACAGATGGGAGTCTGGCAACAGATGAGTCTCTAGGCCAGTTTGGACAAATTCCTCCTATTCACTGGTCCAGAGTCAGATTGCATCCCTAATTGGACTGGGATTAAGAGTAGGGTGTTCTGATCCTAGATCTGTGGTTAGGTAGCACTCTCTACTTCAGTGGTAGTAGACAACAACAGAATATATAATTCAACAACAACAACTTTTCTAATCCATATAAGATTGTGTGGGTTAATTTTTTTATTAAAACCTGTGGACTGTTTCAGACTGAATTAACTAATGACATGATTTAAAAGTGTAATTAGGAATAAGAACGTTAGGGTCTTGGAGGGCTGTGGGATTCACCTGGGCTGCGTCTCAAATGGCACTCTATCCCATTCCCTATTTAGTACACTACTTTAGACCAGGGCCCACAGGGAATAGGGGGTACAGTGTATATAGGGAACAGGGTGTGATTTAGACGTGGCCCTGGGTTCTGTTTGTCCTGTCTGGCTCTCTGTAGGGCCCTGCAGCTGTGACTGCATTGGGAGGACTGGGGGAGGCATCAACTGAAAGGCTCTACTGTACACAAGCACACATCTGCATGAGAGCGAACTAGCATACAGACCCACATGAATGCACACACACATTTACAGAGACAAACACGTGTTCACTAGTATAGTCGTCAACACAGACACACACAACACACTATCTCAGACTTCTACACTGTCTCTGCCAATGGCAGTGGGGAGTTGGAGAGCGAGAGAGATGAGAGAGAGAGAGAGAGAGAGAGAGAGAGAGAGAGAGAGAAGAGAGAGAGAGAAGAGAGAGAGAGAAGAAAGAGATAGAGAGGAGAGACGCTAAGCTCGATATGAGAGAGAGCGATAGACGAGTGCATCGATGCAGCTCTAGCAGAGCAGATAGCATATTTCGATCTCATTCAGTCACTGAGAGCGCAGAACAGAGAAAGAAAGAAAGAGACAGTGATCCGTGATTATGACTGTGATGATCATGATTTTCCGCCCCAGTTGCCGTTGGATCCCGGGAGCAGCTGCGTGCGCTCCGACGATCCTGGCTTTCCGATGGACGTTCCGACTGGAACCGGTTGATTCCTAATGATTCGGAAGGGAAGGAATACTGGCAGGCCTGCTGACCAGCACATGCTGAGGGGCAAGAGGGACAGACAGGGGGAGAGAGAGAGAGAGAGAGAGAGAGAGAGAGAGATAGAGTGAGAGTCAGAGATGATCGAAGATCGTAGAGATAGAGAGAGAGAGCGAGAGAGACCAGAGCAGTAGAGCTAGAGCTACGATGCAGCTAGATAGCATGAGTAGGATTCGATGACTGAGAAGATAGATTTATCTGATCGTCTTGTCTTACACCTGTCTCTACCCCTTCTTCCTCTCTCTTTCTTCTTTTCTCATTTTTCTCTTTCCTTTCTCCCTTCTTCTCGTTTTTGGCTGTCCCCCATAACACAATGAGATTAACACAGAAACATCCTCATATTGTCAGTGTCAAACACGTCTGTCAGTTTGTCGTGACCACACAGTGTCGTTTGAAACCATACTGTGTGTGTGATAGCGATCACCTAGGTAACGTAGCTGTCAATCCATAAGCATCATTCCACATGTGTACATCACGTGTAACTCATGACAATTACCAACAGATGAAAAATAGACTCTCTCATACTGTCAACGTGGTTGTCATTAGGTTTTCATGGCATGCAGCTTTTATATGGGGACTGTTTGAATTGACAACTAAACTACTGATATCAGCAAGGCTTCAATGAACATAATAGATCTTTATTATACATTTGGGCTTTAATCCTTCTACAACAGTACAATACAACGGTAGGGTTACAGCGGTGATGTTTGCTGCAAGGTGGGCACTATGCGAGGTCTGGAGTCTGTGACTGTTCCTGCTGTTATGTAAGTTGGTCTCTTTGAGCCTTCTCTTCCACTCTTCTTCTCTCATTGAAGCTGTCACAAAGAAACGATCTGGATTTAGATAGGGCCTGAATCACAAAGACAAGTTCCCTGCACCTCTCACATACTCACACGCACACACACACTCACGTACAGAAGAACACACACACACGCTGTACACTCCGTTTAACACACCCACACAGAGAGCGAGATGGACACACACACACACACACACACACACACACACACACACACACACATACACGTCTCTATTTCCAACCAGGAAGGGGTGTGTAGGGGTCTGAGAGTGGAGGTGGTAGTGTTTGATGCAGCTCTACTATTCTCAGGCTGGTAGAGCCGTGAAGCTGTAGAATACTGTTGATAGTAGCTCTTAACATACTGAAGGTATACAACTATCACTCCTCCACACATGCTACACTGCAGGGCTGGAGCTACTCGTTGAGCAGGCTTTTGCTCCAGCCCTGCTCTAACACACATGATTCAGCTACACAAGGTTCTGCCAACCCTCCTCCTAGAGTGCTATTGGGTGAGCAGGCTTTTGCTCTAACACAATTGGGTTTGTGATGTAAGCACTGCAGCCATTTTGTGTCAAAACAGTCCCCAGTCACCTCTAATGCTTTGAGCCAGTACAGTGAAGCAGTTTCATTCACAATACCACTGTCACGTCTATTCCTTCTCCCCCTCTCCGGCGCTCGACGTCGCCGGTTTACTAACCACCGGTCCTGGCAACCTTCATTACGCACACCTGCGTGTCATCATTAGGCACACCTGGACTTCACCACTTCCCTGATTGCTTCCCCTTTATTTAGCCCTCTGTTGTCATCAGTCCTTAGGTGTTATTGGTTCTTCTCTCACGTTACAGTACGCGGCCCATGTTTGTTCCTTTGTATCTGTTCAGTATTAGAACTCACCTTCTGTACCTGCGTTCTGACTCCCGGCGTAAATGTTACAAACACAAACGGCCATAAGCGAGTGGGAAACTGATAGTGTACAGATGGGGAGGAGTAAAGCAAAACCCTGCTGTGCCAACAATGGTTACTGATCATCACCGCCCACTCCTTCTCTCTCTGGCGCTCGCTCTTAATGAGGGTTCTAACGAAAGTTCAAACGAGGGGGGGGATTAATGGGACAAGTGTTCCCGAGAGGTTCCAGGAAGTTAGTCATCATTAAATATTAGAGCAATTAATATTTAATCGCTGGGCGATATAATTAATGGGGTAGAGCTCAGATGGATGTCCACAGTGCTCTATCCTTTTGATCTGGAAGGGTAAATATTAAAACTGTTACGACAAAATCAATGTGTTACGAATTATGGATGGCAAACTCTCATGTTAACCTTTTATAATGGGTGGAAATACAGTGTGATGGCTTATTGTGAGTCATTGTGGGTTACTTTTATCATATGTCTGAGTCGTTCTTTTTAGATGTTATGTAACAGAGTTAAGAATGTACAGTAAGCTCACTCCACAACTAGCTTGAAATTTCGCGGATGGAGCTATGGAATTAGATGTTTTTCGGTAGCTCAAACAGTTGGTACTCTGTGTAGTCAAGGAGTTTGAGCAGAGGATGACAGGTTCGAGTCCGGTATGGGTACAGGGACAGCGGAGGAAGCGGAAATACTAGCAGCACACTGACATCCATTTCAGTTAGAGTGATCAAATTTGAGTAGTAGTTTTTATACGGTACCCAAGACAGAAAGTCTGTAATATTATTTGACCAAAAGATAAATAGCTAAATGTGTAAATGTGATGTAGCAGATTTGATAGAATTTAGCCTTAAATCAACACTTAGTATCTGAAAGAAAACCAAGTTCTTCTCTCTTCACACTTTACAAGGTCAAACCTTACCACATGGAAACATACTGAACATGCCATTTGTTGTCTTCTTATGACCTATTTACTGCACTGTGTTGGAAGAAAGTCAACTAGGCCAAGTAGTTGTAGTGGTACCGTAGTGTCTTAAAAACCACTATCTATTATAGAGAGGCTCCTCCTGGTTAGTAACGCTTCACTGGGCTGTAGTGTTAGCATTTTTAATTCTCTATCACACACACACACATGTGGGCATACACATACCCCTTAGTGTGTGTTCATAGACATACAAGTCCATTCTTAGAACATACTCCCAGGTGGACCAAAGACGAACGTAGGTTTTGTACTGGGGTGCTAAAGGGGAACGCACTCTCTAACCTCACAGACAAACACACGGATCTATCTCTATCTATCTCTATATCTCTATCTCTCTCTCTCTCTCTCGATCTTCTCTCTCTCCTCGCGGCGTCTCTCTCTCTCTCATCTCTTCTCTCTCTCTCTCTCTCTCTCGTCTCTCTACTCTGCTTCCCCTCTCTCCCTCTCTCCCTCTCTCTCTCTCTCTCTCTCTCTCTCTCCCTCTCCCTCTCCCTCTCCCTCTCCCTCTCCGGAAAAGTCTGAAATCCCCAGAAAGTCTTGGAGAGAAGAGGGAAGGTGTTATGGGGATTTGAGATGTCAGGATACCACACAGGAAGTCTGTTTCTGATGCTTTCCTCATGTGTGTGTGTGTGTGTGTGTGTGGCACGGCCAGACAAGTGGACTGGGAACACAGTAAAAGACTCAGTGTTGAATAATGTATGGGTCCATTTGACTATAGCTTCACTTCTGTATCCTGTTCAGGAAGTCAAGGTCACCGCTACAGAGCAGAGACAAAGAACAACTACAGGCCTCAAGTCAAACACTGCACTTGGTAAATATTAGGGGAAGTTATTTAGAAGAATCCACATCAGCAATCAGACGTCACATGGAAGTATAAACACACACACACACACACACCAACACACAACACACACACATACACACACACACACACACCGCCCAAGAGAAATGTTCCAACGTAGGGAAGAAGAGACCAGAGAAGAGAGACCTGGGGAGTGATTTGACATTCCTCTGAAGAAGAGAAGGAGAGATTAGTTCTAATATTTACCTTATTTTATCCCTCTCTCCTCTCTAATCTGTGGGAAGTGTGTTTTTCTCTCTCCACAGGGTGCATGTGTTTGTGTTGTGTGTGTGTGTGTGTGTGTTGTGTGTGTGTGTGTGTGTGTGTGTTGTGTGTGTGTGTGTTGTGTGTGTGTGTGTTGGTGTGTGTGTGCGTGTCTTCCACACAACCAACAGTGTCCTTCTCCTTCCCTTCTCAGACACTTTATTCATTGCATTTAAACTCCTCCCATCTATTTAACAGATAGAATTCTGCCTCAACATTCTCTTCCCTTCAGGAGCCAACAAACGTTCCACCGCAAAGTTATTATATATCACTAGAAATCAGCGGGGGCTCCTCAGAGGAGAAAGGGGAGGACCACCCTCCTCGGTGAATTTCAATAAACAAAAAAAATTGTGCAACATTTAGATAAGACTATACTAAATATATTCTCGTCACCAAATAATTGATTAAAGCACACTGTTTTGCAATGAAGGTCTGCAGCAGCCTCAGCAGCACTCTGTAGGGTAGCACCATGGTGTAGCCGGAGGACAGCTAGCTTCCGTCCTCCTCTGGGTACATTAACTTCAATACAAAACCAAGGAGGCTCACCCCCTTCCATAGATTTACACAGTAATTATGAAAACTTCTGGAGGACGTCCTCCAACCTATCAGAGCTCTTGCAGCATGAACTAACATGTTGTCCACCCAATCAAAGGATCAGAGAATGAATCTAGTACTGAAAGCATAAGCTACAGCTAGCTAGCACTGCAGTGTATAAAATGTGGTGAGTAGTTGACTCAAAGAGAGAGAAAGACAATAGTTGAACAGTTTTGATCAAATTAATTTTTGCCAAAATTAAGGAGAAGCAAGAGAGAGAGAGAGAGAGAGAGAGAGAGAGAGAGAGAGAGAGAGAGAGAGAGCTATATTTCGTAGTATATGTATACTTAGCTAGCTAGTTTAGCCTACTCAAACAACTGGCTCAAACAAAGGGGGATGCTATGTTAGCTAGCTAGCTAGTTTAGCCTACTCAAACAACTGGCTCAAACAAAGGGGGATGCTATGTTAGCTAGCTGGCTATGGCTATCCAACACTGGATCTCTTCCAAGTCATGGTTTCATTAATTTATTGCCACCGGGGCCCGCAGGAGTAACTGCTAAACTGCTTTCTGACTGTACACCGTACTGCATGATTGTAGCGTTTTTACTAACGCGTTAGTTCTAGTAGCTATGTTGACTATGACGTGTCAACGATGTAGGCTGTGTGCAGCGGATAGAGGTCGTCATGATATGAAGGTTTGGCTTGGAAACGTTTTTTCGTCTGGTCACAGACAGCTGATGTGTTGTGCACTGAAGTCCACAAGAAGAAGGGGAAAGGTGAGAGAAGGGTAAAGGTGAGAGGAGGAGAGAATGTAAGTAGATGTGAGCTGTTTGTGTGTGGCTGCTATGAAAGAAAACTGTTTTGCTATACGCGCAATAACGTCTGCTAAATATGTGTATGTGACCAATACCATTTGATTTGATTGGATTTACTTGGAAAGGTATTTTTTCGCCTGGTCACAGACAGCTGATGTGTTGTGAACTGAAGTCCACAAGTGAAAGTAAGAGGAGGAGGTTGCGTGAAGATGATGCTACCTCCTCTCTTTCCTTCATAGTCTACTTTAGCCCCTCCCCCCTCTGAAGCATAGTCTACTGTAGCCTACTGATGTTACAAGCGTGATTCAGAAATTGAGGAGAGAGATTTTTAATTAGAGAAGAATGGATTAACTTTTTCAATGTTAAGGATACTGTAGTTACCACATTTCAAATTGGATTTATTAACTACAAAAAGGTAAGACGTGTTTTAAATGTAATTCTGGTGCCTCTCTGCACACACAAGCTTGTTATCTAGCTGTCTCTGGTCCAACGTTAAGCCAACTCTCTGAAGTTCAAAGACATTCAAAGTTCCGTAGGCATACTTCTGTGGGCCAAATTCAGATACTCTCTCTCTCTCTCTCTCCCTCCCTCTCTTCACAAGCCCTTAAACCAAATACTACTTCCATAACAGCTCTATGTGTGTGTGTGTGGTGTGTGTGTGTGTGTGGTGTGTGTGTAAGTGCGCAAAGTGGACCGTGACCATAGCAGTTCTGTCCACCCAGTCAAGCCTATCGTCTCCACTTGCCTTTTATTAGGCCCTTATTAACTGTGTCCATGTAGCACTAGGCTACACGCACACACACACACACACACACACACACACACACACACACACACACAGAGCTGTAATGGAAGTGAGAGAGAGAAAGTGAAAGAGAGAGAGAAAGAGACTTGGTCATTTCACACACTTCCCTGTCCTCCTCAGTGTCTCTGTCCTCTGGGCTAAAACCTTCATGGCACAATGAGCTGGCCCAGAAGATTACATTACCAAGTGAGTCAAACTGACTCTGATCTTCTGGGTCTCACGTGTTTGTGTTTGTACGTACGTGCGTGTACCCAATAGACCGTGACCAGACAGGGACATGGGGAGGACGGAGTGGTAACGATGAGCTCTGACTGTAGACCGTGACCAGGACAGGGACATGGGGAGGACATGGGGAGGACGGAGTGGTAACGATGAGCTCTGACTGTAGACCGTGACCAACAGGGACATGGGGAGGACGAGTGGTAACGATGAGCTCTGACTGTAGACCGTGACCAGACAAGGGACATGGGGGAGGACGGAGTGTAACGATGAGCTCTGACTGTAGACCGTGACCAGCAGGAATTGGGGAGGACGGAGTGGTTAACGATGAGCTGCTGACCTAGACCGTGACCAGACATTGGACATGGGGAGGGACGGATGGTAACGATGAGCTCTGACTGTAGACCGTGACCAGACAGGGACATGGGGAGGACGGAGTGGTAACGATGAGCTCTGACTATAGACCGTGACCAGACAGGGACATGGGAGGAACGGAGGTGGTAACGATGAGCTCTGACTGTAGACCGTGACCAGACAGGGACATGGGGAGGACGGAGTGGTAACGATGAGCTCTGACTATAGACCGTGACCAGACAGGGACATGGGGAGGACGGAGTGGTAACGATGAGCTCTGGACTGTAGACCGTGACCAGACAGGGACATGGGGAGGACGGAGTGGGTAACGATGAGCTCTGACTGTAGACCGTGACCAGACAGGACATGGGGAGGACGGAGTGGTAACGATGAGCTCTGACTGTAGACCGTGACCAGACAGGGACATGGGGAGGACGGAGTGGTAAAGATGAGCTCTGACTGTAGACCGTGACCAGACAGGGACATGGGGAGGACGGAGTGGTAACGATGAGCTCTGACTATAGACCGTGACCAGACAGGGACATGGGGAGGACGGAGTGGTAAAGATGAGCTCTGACTGTAGACCGTGACCAGACAGGGACATGGGAAGGACGGAGTGGCAACGATGAGCTCTGAATGTAGACCGTGACCAGACAGGGACATGGGGAGGACGGAGTGGTAACGATGAGCTCTGACTGTAGACCGTGACCAGACAGGGACATGGGGAGGACGGAGTGGCAACGATGAGCTCTGACTGTAGACCGTGACGACAGGGACATGGGGAGGACGGAGTGGTAACGATGAGCTCTGACTGTAGACCGTGACCAGACAGGGACATGGGGAGGACGGAGTGGTAACGATGAGCTCTGACTGTAGACCGTGACCAGACAGGGACATGGGGAGGACGGAGTGGTAATGATGAGCTCTGACTGTAGACCGTGACCAGACAGGGACATGGGGAGGACGGAGTGGTAATGATGAGCTCTGACTGTAGACCGTGACCAGACAGGGACATGGGGAGGACGGAGTGGTAACGATGAGCTCTGACTGTAGACCGTGACCAGACAGGGACATGGGGAGGACGGAGTGGTAAAGATGAGCTCTGACTGTAGACCGTGACCAGACAGGGACATGGGGAGGACGGAGTGGTAACGATGAGCTCTTACTGTAGACCGTGACCAGACAGGTACAGACACCATTCTGCCACAGTCTAGATAGACACCATACTGCTACAGTCTAGATACAGACACCATACTGCTACAGTTTTGATACAGACACCATACTACTACAGTCTATATACAGACACCATACTGCTACAGTCTTGGTACAGACACCATACTGCTAGAGTCTAGATACAGACACCATACTGCTACAGTCTTGCTACACTCTATAAACAGACACCATACTGCTACAGTCTTGCTACACTCTATAAACACACACCATACTGCTACAGTCTAGATACAGAACACTGCAGTCTGATCAGACCATGCACAGTGGATAGACACCATACTGCTACAGTCTAGATACCAAGGACACCATATGGCTAGAGTGTACGATCTCTAAAACACCTACTGCTACAGTTAGATACAGACACCATACTGCTACTCTGTACGACACCAAAGGCTACAGTGTAGATAAGCCTACTGCTACGGCTATACAGGACACAACTGCTACAGCTGCTACACTCTAGATACAGACACCATACTGCTCAGTTAGATACAGACACCATACATGCTACAGTGTAGATCAGACACCATATGCTACAGTGCTAGATACAGACACCATACTGCTACAGTCTAGTAAACAGACACCATATGCACAGTCAGACAGACCCATACTGCTACAGTGCTAACATACAGACACCATACTGCTACAGTCTAGATACAGACACCATACTGCTCCAGTCTAGATACAGACACCATAATGCTACAGTGTAGATACAGACACCATACTGCTACAGTCTAGATACAGACACCATACTGCTACAGTCTTGCTACACTCTATAAACACACACCATACTGCTACAGTCTAGATACAGACACCATACTGCTACAGTCTAGATACAGACACCATAATGCTACAGTGTAGATACAGACACATATGCTGACAGTCTAGATACAGAACATATGCTACAGGCTTGACTAGACCTACAGACAGACAATACGTGCTACAGTTGTACAGACACCATTAACGTACAGTCTGATACAGGACACCATGATGCTACAGTTAGAACAGACACCATACTGCTACAGTCTAGATACAGACACCATACTGCTACAGTCTAGAAACAGACACCATACTGCTACAGTCTAGATACAGACACCATACTGCTACAGTCTAGATACAGACACCATACTGCTACAGTCTAGATACAGACACCATACTGCTACAGTCTAGATACAGACACCATACTTCTACAGTCTATAAACAGTACAGATCAGTGAGATGCGTTTTATATTTTTGGAGAAATATTGCATTTATTCCAAATCCATAAAGTAGTGCATCCATACTATACAGAAAGCAGGAAACATCGGTACAAAAGTGACAGTCACTTGAGTGCGAGGTGTGCATTGCTAATTAAACAAACAACAAAAAGCCTTAATGCATTGGATTAATGACAATAACCAATAAATTAAAAAAACTGTTATTCTATAAACTGATGGTACCGTATAGTAATGTAAACATATTTGCATAATAATGATATAATTCTAATTATTATAGAATTTTCTTATAGTAGTTATATATAGATGCAGAGGCCCTGGTCAAGCATTGGGTGCGGCCCAAATGGCACCTTATTCACTATATAGTGCACTATTTGTGACCAGGGCCCATAGGGCTGCCCACAGGGCTCTGTCAAAAGCAGTGCACTACGTAGGGAATAGGGTGCCAATTGGGACGCACCAATTCTAAATCCATCATGCGTTATCTATGTATTGTATTTCAGGAGATCGTTGAATCGGGAAAGTTAATAAAACATGATGAATAAAAAACACAAATGAATAGCCATGGAATCGGATGATAGAGATCCCTTTAGATGAATTAATATCTGAAGAGGAAGCTGCTATTTCTGTATGGAAACCGTTCCGGCTAATTTCATCCGGTATGTATTTACAGAGGCCTTGCCAATTATACCTACTAGAACATTGATAAGAACAACGTGGTTGTCGTGTTCTAAATCACATGGATGGATTCTAATCGCCTCACCAGGCAAGAACGGGATCTCTGATTGGTTGGTTGTTGTTTTCTTGGACAAGAAGGCTCTGTGTCATGGCAATCTGATTGGTTGAGACACAATAGCACAATAACCGGGATTGGTTATGACAGGAACCTGATTTATGTGATTGGTAATTGGTTGTGACTCACACCCGGCGACTCTGATTAGTTCTTGGTTCTGACTCACACCCGGCGACTCCGATTGGTGACTGTTGATTGGTTGTTGGTGTCCACAGTATATACAGTATGATTGTGTAATTGATTTACTTCGAATTTTCAACACAAAGCCAACGAGTCCATTTGGTGGTGATGGACTGACAACACTGATTGGTGATTGGTCGAGAGGTGGTGGCAGCCGGTGGCGTCTGCGAGCCCTGATTGGTTTTGGGTTATGACAGGAAGCCAATGACGGGCTGCAGGAAGAGGCCGAGGGTTCCGAGGATGCACACCGTCACAAACACCCACAGGAAGATCCTGTCTATCACCATGGCAACATACTTCCAATCATCCTCCACCTAAGAGGGAGGGAGGGAGGGAGGGAGGGAGGGAGGGAGGGAGGGAGGGAGGGAGGGAGGGAGAGAGAGAGGGAGGGAATGATACAGCAATGAAAATAAGAAAAAATAAGTGGAGACAGAAAAGAGAGAAGTCATGTGTAAATGAAGGGGGGGGGGATAGATGAACAGATAGGGGGAGGAGAGTAGGAGAACAGATAGGGGGAGGAGAGAAGGAGAACAGATAGGGGGAGGAGAGAAGGAGAACATATAGGGGGAGGGGAGAAGGAGAACAGATAGGGGGAGGGGAGAAGGAGAACAGATAGGGGGAGGAGAGAAGGAGAACAGATAGGGGGAGGAGAGAAGGAGAACAGATAGGGGGAGGAGAGAAGGAGAACAGATAGGGGGAGGAGAGAAGGAGAACAGATAGGGGGAGGAGAGAAGGAGAAAAAACCAGTTTGATGGAAGGTGGGATGTAGTTTGGGGGGGACATGATGTTGGACCATGAAGGAAGGAGGAGGGTAAAAAGTGAGGAAGAGAAATAGAGGATGAGAAGAAAAAAAGAGAAAACAGAGTTGACTACTGGTGGAAGCGTTCCCGTACTGTAACTGACTGATAGAACATTACTATGGTAATGGTATTCATCAGTGTCAGAATCAAACACACACACACACACCAGAGTGTCAGAAGCAGACAGTCAGCCTGACAAAGCTGATTGAGAAGAGAAGTACTTTACATATCAAAGACATCTTTCCCCCCAAGGGGAGAGTTCAACCTCTGTGTTTACAGAAGACAACACAAAGAACAAGGGACTTATTTTTTCACTAAAGTCTTGTAACTATTTTCTCTTGTATCGTACAGCGAGATAACTTTTTTAAAATTCATTACGGATGTGAAACAGTGTTCCACCCAACAATGCTCCACTTGGTTGATATTATAAACAAGGGAGTATCAACTAACATTGGGCGAGTTTCCCGAGAAGCAGAGTAGTGAACACAGTGTTTGTTATGATGACTCAGGACGAGATAAAACTATTCCTTCAATGTACGCTAACAGAGCTTTGTATAGGCTAACGGTACACACCTTCTTGGCCTTGGTTAAAGCTAAAGCTATTTATCGTTAGCCGAAGCTAATGCTATTTGTTGTTTGCCTAAGTTAAATCTATTTCTATATTATGCGCTAACGAAGCTAACATATGCTGTACGCTAATGCTTGCCCACCCAGTCACATCATTGTCCTTGCGTGACCTTGTCATTAGCGGAAGCTGAAGATATTTGTTGTTAGCCGAAGTTAAACGTATTTCTCCATTGTACGCTAACAAAGCTAATGCTAGCAGCTAATGGTAGCCCGCCCACTCACCCCTGGCATTTTTGAAGCAAAAGCGATTTGTTTTTAGTCAAAGCTGAACCTATATCCCCATTGTGCACTAACAAAGCTAACATATACACCAACTCTAGCCCACCCTATAACCTATTTGGCCTTGTTCTTTTGCTGTATTGTAAGTCACTCTGAATAAAAGCATTTGCTAAATGACCGACAAAATGGCGCTCACCTCTTTGGCCTGATAAAGCTAAAGCTAGTTGGTGTTAACCCAAAGTTAAACCTACTGTATTTCTCCATTGAACTCCAACAAAGGTAACTTGCAGGTCCTCCCACTCACCTCTTCGGCCTCGTTGAAGCTAAAGCTATTTATTGTTAATTAAGCTAAAACTAATGTATTTCTAAAATTGCACGCTAACACTAGCTTGCCACTCACCTCTTTGGCCTTGTTGCGGCTCCTCATATTCTCGGCGATGTACTTGACGCTCTCGATGGCCTGTTTAATCTCCGGGGACAGGACGGAGTAGGCCACCACCGTGTTGATGCTCTGAGGACTTAGCTGGTGGCTCAGTTTCCCCGGATCCGCTGTCTCTGGGGTCTCCTTCCCATGTTGGCAGGGGCAAGGGCACTTCTTACCCCCTCTTTCTCCACATCCTCTGTCAGTCAGTTTGTTGTCTGCGAACTCCAGGCAGTTCCCGCCCTGCTGGGAATTGAAGAAAATGGAATGGAATAGAATAGAATGCAATGGAATAGAGTAGGAGAGATTAGAATAGAATATAATGGAATGGAATAGAGTAGAATAGAAAGGAATGGAATGGAATGGAATAGAGTAGAATAGAATGGAGTAGGATGGAATTGAATGGAATGGAAGAAAAATATAATATAATGGAATAGAATGGAATAGAATAGAATAGAGTATAATATCATAGAATGAAATAGAATGGAATAGAGTAGAATAGAATGGAATAGAATGGAGTAGAATAGAATGGAATAGAGTATAATAGAATAGAATGGAATAGAGTAGAACAGAATGGAATAGAATAGAATAGAACAGAACAGAATAGAGTATAATAGGGTATAATGGAATAGAGTATAATATAATGGAATAGAATAGAGTATAGTAGAATAGAATGGACTATAGTATAATATTGTATCATGGAATAGCGTATAACAGAGTATAATGGAATAGAGTATAATAGAGTATAATAGAATAGAGTATAATAGAGTATAATATAATAGAATGGAATATAGTATAATAGAATAGAGTATAACAGAATAGAATAGAATAGAGTATATAGAGTATAATAGAGTATAATAGAGTATAATAGAGTATAATATAGTATAATAGAGTATAATAGAATAGAATGGCATGAGGATGATAAACATTCAGCTCCAAACAGTCTTTTTCAGAGTAAGGATGCAAAATTATGGTAACTTTCCCCAAATTCCCAAGGATTCCAGAAATCCCAGTTGAAGGATTCCTGGATTTCCTGTTTATTTGATCCTGATTCCAGGAAAGTCACCAGATTTTTGCAACCTTAAACCAGAGTCCAAAGTCTTACTCAGTGTATTTAATCTACCCCACATGTTAACCTCTACCATTATGAGAATACATGTTAACCTCTATCTACCATTACGAGAATACATTTTAACCTCAACCGTTATGGGAATACATGTTAACCTCTACCACTATGAGAATACATGTTAACCTCTACCATTATGGGAATACATGTTAACCTCTACCACTATGAGAATACATGTTAACCTCTACCACAATGAGAATACATGTTAACCTCTACCATTATGGAAATACATGTTAACCTCTACCATTGTGAGAATACATGTTAACCTCTACCATTATGGGAATACATGTTAACCTCTACCACTATGAGAATACATGTTAACCTCTACCATTATGGGAATACATGTTAACCTCTACCACTATGAGAATACATGTAAAGCTCTATCACTATGAGAATACATGTATAGCTGGCTTTAGATCAGGGACTACGTGGAGCAACAGAAAGGAACATTGATAATTGAATGAATTAACCTGTTCAGTCATCTATTGATCAATTAATCAATCCCTCCCTCCCTCCCACCAATCAACCCACCCACACATCAACCCACCCACCCACCAACCCAACCAACCACCCAATCGACCCACCGTCAGACTATTCTTCCTCTTCTTTCCTCCTTTCCCTCCTCCTCCTGCTCCTCCTCCTCCTCCTCCTCCTCCTCCTCCTGCTCCTCTCTCCTCCCCGCTGTCTGAACAGAGGGCCTTGCCGTCCTGGTCTATGGGCCGTCTCATCAGCATGATTCTGGGTAGCACCCTGACGGACACAGAACAGTTAACAATAATTCAGTGCATTATATATATAATAAATTAGTACAACAGTAAGAACACCTTCCTAATATTAAGTTGGTCTAATAGTTGGTCTAAGAGTTGGGATAAGAGTTGGTCTAAGAGTTGGGCTAAGAGTTGGTCTAAGAGTTGGGCTAAGAGTTGGGCTAGGAGTTGGGCTAGGAGTTGGGCTAAGAGTTGGTCTAAGAGTTGGGCTAAGAGTAGGTCTAAGAGTTGGGCTAAGAGTTGGTCTAAGAATTGGGCTAAGAGTTGGGCTAAGAGTAGGTCTAAGAGTTGGTCTAAGAGTTGGTCTAAGAGTTGGTCTAAGAGTTGGGCTAAGAGTTGGGCTAAGAGTTGATCTAAGAGTTGGGCTAAGAGTTGGGCTAAGAGTTGAGCTTAGAGTAGGTCTAAGAGTTGGTCTAAGAATTGGGCTAGGAGTTGGTCTAAGAGTTGGTCTAAGAGTTGGGCTAAGAGTTGGGCTAAGAGTTGAGCCCATACTCTCTCTTTACCTGAGGAAGACGGACCTGACCCAGCCTGGCATGGTGTGGGTCATTGGTGTACGGTAGTGGACGTTCAGGACGAACACGGTGATGACGATGGAGAGGGTGACGAAGATCATAGTGAAGAGGAGGTACTCCCCGATGAGGGGGATGACCAGGGACGTGGACGGGATGGTCTCAGTGATCACCAGGAGGAACACAGTGAGGGAGAGGAGGACCGAGATACAGAGGGTCACCTGTTGGGAAAGGAGAGAGAGAGAGAGAGAGAGAGAGAGAGAGAGAGAGAGAGAGAGAGAGAGAGAGAGAGAGAGAGAGAGAGAGAGAGAGAGAGAGAGAGAGAGAGAGAGAGAGAGAGAGAGAGAGAGAGAGAGAGAAAGAGAGAGAGACAGAGAGACAGAGAGACAGATGAACGCTGTAAGAGACTCAGCATGTGTTATTGTCCTAGGAGGAAGCAATTGTTTCATTCCATTGCATGTACATTACAGACACATAAGCCAACAACACCATCATCACCCAGAAAGAACGTTGGTTGGTTCAGTCCGAGCTTTCACACCAATCACATCGTAGCTAACATTGTCAAACATTTCACATGGTGGCTCATTCTGAACACACAACAAATTGACTGTAGTGCCCAATTATGGTACACACCCCTTATTTACTGGGTGCTGGGCAGATTTAAAAAATTATATATTATAATTATAATATAATAATAAATATAATAAAACTAGTATAATTATATAATATATAATATGTCTCATTTAGCAGACACTTTTATCCATAGCAATTTACAGCAGTGCATATGAAGTAGGGTCTGCACACTCAGTTTCTCCAACACATGCCTTTGTGTTGGTGGAATTGAGTTGGCGGACCCTACTTCATTACTATAGCAACATGTTATAACATTATTACAGTGCCTATAGGAAGTATTCATCCCCCTTGGACTTTTTCCACATTTTGTTGTGTTTCAACCTGGAATTCAAATGCATTTCATTGGGATTTTTTTGTCACTGACTGACAGGAAGTACTTTCTATTGTCAAAATCAAAAGAGAATTCTACAAATGTTAATGATCAATGAAAAATTGAAAAATGATATTCAAATAAGTAGAACAATTTGTAATTTTGGAAAATTACATAATTATTCTGACAATTTCTAGAAGTTCTTCATTTTATAATGTTTTGCAATCAATAATTTGTATTTTGTTTAATTTCTTTGACTGCAGAATGTATAAAATATAAAATGTCCGTTTCCACATACTATATCCTGTAGATGCTGGTTTGATGCTGGTGATAATGGATAACAGATTGTAACACACCAACATGACAACGTTCACCACCACAAAGATGTTCAACACAGTCAACACAACAAGATGTGGCAAAGTCCAAGGGGTGTGGACACTTCCTGAAAGGCACCGCACCTTCTCTCCGCAGTCGGAGGGCAGGTAGAAGACCAGGACTGTTAAAAAAGAGATGAGGAGACATGGGATGATGAGGTTGATGGTGTAGAAGAGAGGCAGGCGTCTGATGTAGAAGGAGTAGGTGATGTCTGGGTAGATCTCCTCGCAACAGTTGTACTTGATGTCGTGCTTGTAGCCTGGAGCATCGATGATCTCCCACTCGCCGCTCTCCCAGAAGTCTTTGAGGTTGACCTGAGGTAGGCGATATCGGGTTTATTGAGGGCTTGATTCTGGGTAGTTATTTCATAAACATGCATTCATCTTGGTTGGATTACACAATTTTGGACTACGGAGTCAGTAACTGAGACTCTTAGATTAAAGGTTTTACCATAGTCAAGAATTGAACCACGCCCATAATTCCTTTCTAGCTCTATACCACAAAATGGTGTATCAGGAAAATGGACTTGATGTGCAAGTATTCTTCTAACCTTTGACCCAATGAGCACCAGGTCGATCTTGGCCTTGTCGTAGGTCCAGGAGCCGAACTTCATGGAGCAGTTCTGGTAGTCGAAGGGGAAGTAGGTGATGTCCATTGGGCAGGAGGACTTAAAGATGGCGGGGGGAACCCAGGTGACTGTACCGTCAAACTTCAACAGAGCTTTGGTCTTATCTTCAACCAGGAAGTCTCCCACCGCACTGTCAGGGGTCGGGGGGGGGGGGGGGGGGGGGGGGGACAGGAAAGGGCAGGTATGGGGAAGGTGAGAGGGTAAGAAAGAGAGAAGTAAACAAGGGAAGAGAGGAGGATAGTATCCTGACACTATGAGAAGAGAAAGCTGTCTTTTGTGATGAGGGTATTTTCATCTTGTTGCTTTGCAATGTATATTGGAATAAAAACAAAATAAATTAAAAGGATATGATATTAATAGAAAATTAAATCCATAGAAAATGGAAATCGTTCATATAAATGTCAGTAAAATGTATCTTCAAACACATAGTTTAGCTCTTAGCACCTACTTTAGTACCGGGTCCTGTGTGGCTCAGTTGGTATGAGTCTCTTCACACACATAGTTTAGCTCGTATCATCTACTTTAGTACTTGGTCCTGTTTGGCTCAGTGGTACGAGTCTCTTCACACACATAGCTTAGCTCTTAGCACTTACTTTAGTACTTGGTCCTGTGTGGCTCAGTTGGTACGAGCATGGCACTCACAACACCAATTTTGTCGGTTCAATATCAACATTGATCTGATACACATACTAAAAATCTCTGCATTTCCCAAATAAAGTTTCTGCTAAGTGACATGGCAAAATCACTTGTTATAGAGCACTATGTCATGACTCACTTGTTATACAGCACTATGTCAGGTCTCCAGATCTTGTTGGATGGAACTCTGATGAACTCAATCCCATCAAACTCTACTGGGGCCCAGCTCAGTTTGTAGTCGTTCCAGATCTGAAACACAAACACAGCATGAATGAGTGTGTGTGTGTGTGTTTGTGTGTGTCTGTGTGTGTTAGCCATGTAGTTTCATGCTAGGCTAGCTTTCCCATTTGTTCCCTATGAGAGAGCTAACTTTTGTTAGCCATGCAGCTTCATGCTAGGCTAGCTTTCCCATTTGTTCCCTATGAGAGCGCTAACTTTTGTTAGCCATGCAGTTTCATGCTAGGCTAGCTTTCCTATTTGTTCCCTATGAGAGCGCTAACTTTTGTTAGCCATGCAGCTTCATGCTAGGCTAGCTTTCCCATTTGATTCCTATGAGAGCGTTAGTTGTTAGTTTGCCTTTCTCTTTCAACTCATTTACATTTACATTTACGTCATTTACTTTACAATGTTTTTTGTTGTTGTATTTTTTTTTTTTTTTTTGGGGGGGGGGTAAGGGGGGAGTAGAAGGATTACTTTATCCTATCCCAGGTATTCCTTAAAGAGGTGGGGTTTCAAGTGTCTCCGGAAGGTGGTGAGTGACTCCGCTGTCCTGGCATCATGAGGGAGCTTGTTCCACCATTGGGGTGCCAGAGCAGCGAACAGTTTTGACTGGGCTGAGCGGGAACTGTGCTTCCGCAGAGGGAGGGGGGCCAGCAGGCCAGAGGTGGATGAACGCAATGCCCTCGTTTGGGTGTAGGGACTGATCAGAGCCTGAAGGTACGGAGGTGCAGTTCCCCTCACAGCTCCGTAGGCAAGCACCATGGTCTTGTAGCAGATGCGAGCTTCAACTGGAAGCCAGTGGAGTGTGCGGAGGAGCTGGGTGACGTGAGAGAACTTGGGAAGGTTGAACACCAGACGGGCTGCGGCATTCTGGATGAGTTACTCATGATAATATTATCATAAAAGAGACAGAACTCCTTTCACATTTCTACATTTAACATTTACATCAAATGAGTCCTGTCAGTAAATAATTGTGTTACTTCATTAATAATGAATGTATACACTGAGTGTACAAAACATTAGGAACACCTTCCTAATATTGAGTTGCCCTTAGAACAGCCTTAATTTGTCAGGGCATGCACTCCACAGGGATGCTGGCCCATGTTGACTCCAATGCTTCCCACAGTTGTGTCAAGTTGGCTGGATGTCCTTTGGGTGGTGGACCATTCTTGATTCACACACGAGAAACTGCTGAGCGTGAAAAAACCCAGTAGTGTTGCAATTCTTGACACAAACCGGTGAGCCTGGCACCTACTACCATACTCCGTTCGAAGACACTTACATCTTTTGTCTTGCCCATTCACCCTCTGAATGGCTCACACACAATCCATGTCTCAATTGTATCAAAGGCTTAAAAATCTCCTCCGCTTCATCTACACTGATTGAAGTGGATTTAACAAATAACATCAATAAGGGATCATAGCTTTCACCTGGATTCACCTGTTCAGTCTATGTCATGGAAAGAGCAGGTGTTCCTAATGTTTTGTACACTCAGTGTATGTCTGACAGAGAGTTCAATATTGAAATGATACCTAAAATGCAAACTTACAAAATTAGGAGTTTTGGACAGGTAGAGACACAGTTTTAAATTGTTGACATGTAAGTGTACTGAAGGACTGGGAGTGTATGTTACTCTCTGTAAGAGTTTAAACATGTTAACTCTAACATGCATGCTTGGCTGATCACATTGACATGAGAGAGAGAGAGAGAGCAAGACAGAGATAGAGAGAGAGAGAGAGAGAGAGAGAGAGAGAGAGAGGTACAGAGAGAGATCTTTATATTATATTTTTTTAGCCCAGTAGCGGTATACTCAAGGTTAAAATGTGTATATCACCCTCCTGTTCTACAGAGACAGATGGAAAGAGGTAGAAAGAGGTAGAGAGGCGTAAACTGGCACTCTTCACACATCCACTTAAAAAGAGAGGGATGATTTCTCTGAAATATTCTCTAATCCCCATCACATGAGTTTCAGCTGGAGAGAGAGAGAAAAAAGAGAGAGAACGTCTCAGCTGTTATGACTGCCAAGAAAAAGGGAGAGAGGGAAAAGGAGAGAGAGAGATGGAGGGAGATAAAGAGGGAGAATGAAGGTGGAGATGGAAGACAGAGAAGACAGTGAAGATGGAGATGGAAGACAGAGAAAACAGTGAAGGTGGAGATGGAAGACAGAGAAGAAGTGAAATGGAGATGAAGACAGAGACAGGAAGACATGAAGGTGGAGATGGAAGACAGAGAAGACAGTTGAAGAGGGAGATGGAAGACAGGAGGTGGAGATGGAAGACAGAGAAGACAGTGAAGGTGGAGGCATGGAAGGACAGGAGACAGGACAGTGTGAAGAAGAGATGGGAAGTGGAGATGAGAAGACAGTGTAGGTGGAGATGGAAGACAGAGAAGACAGTGAAGGTGGAGATGGAAGACAGAGAAGAAGAGTGGAAGGTGGAGATGGAAGACAGAGAAGAGCAGTGGAAGATGGAAGATGGAAGACAGTGAGGTGGAGATGGAAGACAGAGAAGACAGTGAAGGTGGAGATGGAAGACAGAGAAGACAGTGAAGGTAGAGATGGAAGACAGAAAGACAGTGAAGGTGGAGATGGAAGACAGAGAAGACAGTGAAGGTGGAGATGGAAGACAGAGAAGACAGTGAGGTGGGGAGATGGAAGACGAGAAAACAGTGAAGGTAGAGATGGAAGACAGAGAAGAGAGGGAAAATGGAGATGAAGACAGAGAAGACAGTGAAGGTGGAGATGGAAGACAGAGAAGACAGTGAAGATGGGGATGGAAGACAGTGTAGGTGGAGATGGAAGACAGAGAAGACAGTGAAGGTGGAGATGGAAGACAGAGAAGACAGTGAAGGTGGAGATGGAAGACAGTGTAGGTGGAGATGGAAGACAGAGAAGACAGTGTAGGTGGAGATGGAAGACAGAGAAGACAGTGAAGGTGGAGATGGAAGACAGAGAAGACAGTGAAGATGGAGATGGAAGACAGTGTAGGTGGAGATGGAAGACAGAGAAGACAGTGAAGGTGGAGATGGAAGACAGAGAAGACAGTGAAGGTGGAGATGGAAGACAGAGAAGACAGTGAAGGTGGAGATGGAAGACAGAGAAGACAGTGAAGGTGGAGATGGAAGACAGAGAAGACAGTGTAGGTGGAGATGGAAGACAGGGAAGACAGTGTAGGTGGAGAAGGAAAGAGAGAGCATGAAACAGAGAGAGAGAGAGAGAGAGAGAAAGAGAGAGAGAGCAAGAGAGAGAGAGAGAGATTTTACACTTTTAAATAATTACAGAGGAATTTGCGTCAACAGCAACTTGGGGAAAATTCTCTGCAGTATCATAAACAGCAGACTACATAATTTCCTTGATGACTACAACGTCCTAAGCAGAAGCCTGATTGGATTTGTTTTAAATTATCGTACAACAGACAACATTTACACCCTCCACACTCTAATGGACAAACAAGTAAACCAAAACAAAGGCAAAATCTACTCGTGTTCTGTAGACTTCAATAAAGCATTTAATTCAATTTGTCACAAAATATCTTTTTTACAAAGTAATAGAAAGTGGTATTGGAGGGAAAACATTATGTTATTAAATCAATGTACACTAAAAACAAATGTGCAGTTAAAATCGGCAACAAGCAAACAGACTTCTTCTCTCAGGGACGTGGAGTGAAACAGGGCTGCCCAATAAGTCCAACACTATTTAACATCTACATTAATGAATTGGCAAAAACATTAGAAGAATCGACAGCACATGGTCTCACCCTACACAACACTGAAATCAAGTGTCTGCTGTACGCAGATGACCTGGTGCTACTGTCTCCCACTAAGGAGGGGTTACAGCAGCATCTAGATCATCAGCACAGGTTCTGTCAGACCAGGGCTCTGAACGTTAATCTAAAAAAAACGAATATAATGATATTCCAAAAAAGGTCAGGAAATCAGGATGACAAATATAAATTCTATTTGGACACAGTTCTATTAGAACACACCAAAAATTACACATATCTAGGACTAAATATCAGCAACACAGGTAGCTTTCACATGGCTGTGAATGAGCTGAGAGACAAAGCAAGAAGAGCATTCTATGCCATTAAAAGGAATATTAAAATCAAAATTCCAATTAGAATCTGGCTCAACATTTTCCAATCAGTTATAGAACCAATTGCTCTATGTGGCAGCGAAGTATGGGGTCCGCTCTCTAATACTGAATTTACCAAATGGACAAACATCCAATCGAAATACTGCATGCAGAGTTTTGCAAGACTGTATTGCAAGTGCAAAGAAAAACTCCAAATATCGCATGTCGAGCAGAATTGGGCCAATACCCCCTCCTTATTCGAATAGAAAAAAGAGCCATCAAATTTTACAACCATCTAAAAACAAGTGATCCCAAAACATTCCATCACACAGCTCTACTATGTCAAGAGATGAAAGATAAGAGTCCCATCAGCCAGCTGGTTCTGAGGCTCAGTTCACTAACCCAAACCAACCTCATAGAGCCTCAGGACAGCACTCAGAAAATCTGGCCCAACCAAATCATCACAAAGCAAAAATAAAAATATATCACCTATTGGAAAGACACCACAAAAAATCAAAGTAAACTTCAATGCTATTTGGCTCTAAACAGACAGTACATGGTGGCAGACTATCTGAACCATGTGACTGTTAGAAAACTGAGGAAAACAATGACTAGGTGCAGACTCAGTGAGCACAGTCTGGCTATAGAGACCGGTCGTCACAGGCAAACCTGGCTGCCCAGAGAGGACAGGCTGTGCTCACTCTGCCCCCGGGGAGAGGTAGGGACAGAGATGCATTTCTTATTACACTGTGACAAATACTCAGACCTAAGAGAATCTTTCTTTCCCAAAATTATCATTCAGTACAAAGAATTAGAAACTATAAATAAGGAAGAAAAAATCTAATATTTATTGGGTGAAAAGCCTAAATGTGCAAATGTGCACTGGACAGCCAGTGAAAAGTGTAATGTAATGTCAATAATATTTCCTGTTTTGTTTTGGCTTTCATACCATGTAAGTGTCTTCTCAGTCATGTTGAGATTGGTCGACTACTATTGCTTTAATGTATTGTTATTCTCATTAATATTGTTGTTGTAGTTGCTGTTAATGGTGATCCCATTTCCACTACTACTATTATTATTGTTGTTGGTCCCACCATTTTTGTTATATCTATACTTTGACAATATAAGTAATTTAACTTGCCATGTCAATAAAGTATATTGAATTGAATTGAATTGAAGTGAGAGAGAGAGAGAGAGAGAGAGAGAGAAAGAAACAGAGAGAGAAAGAGAGAAGACTAATTCACTGCTCAGTCAAGTATGCAATAGTTCCAGAGAATCCACCTAGCTATCTAGAGGGCAATAGTTCATGTAGTTCCAGAGAAGCCACCTAGCTATCTAGAGGTCAATAGTTCATGTAGTTCCAGAGAAACCACCTAGCTATCTAGAGGTCAATAGTTCATGTAGTTCCAGAGAAGCCACCTAGCTATCTAGAGGTCAATAGTTCATGTAGTTCCAGAGAAGCCACCTAGCTATCTAGAGGTCAATAGTTCATGTAGTTCCAGAGAAACCACCTAGCTATCTAGAGGTCAATAGTTCATGTAGTTCCAGAGAAACCACCTAGCTATCTAGAGGTCAATAGTTCATGTAGTTCCAGAGAAGCCACCTAGCTATCTAGAGGTCAATAGTTCATGTAGTTCCAGAGAAGCCACCTAGCTATCTAGAGGTCAATAGTTCATGTAGTTCCAGAGAAGCCACCTAGCTATCTAGAGGTCAATAGTTCATGTAGTTCCAGAGAAACCACCTAGCTATCTAGAGGGCAATAGTTCATGTAGTTCCAGAGAAACCACCTAGCTATCTAGAGGTCAATAGTTCATGTAGTTCCAGAGAAGCCACCTAGCTATCTAGAGGTCAATAGTTCATGTAGTTCCAGGGAAACCCCCTAGCTATCTAGAGGTCAATAGTTCATGTAGTTCCAGAGAAGCCACCTAGCTATCTAGAGGTCAATAGTTCATATAGTTCCAGAGAAGCCACCTAGCTATCTAGAGGTCAATAGTTCATGTAGTTCAAGAGAAACCACCTAGCTATCTAGAGGTCAATAGTTCATGTAGTTCCAGGGAAACCACCTAGCTATCTAGAGGTCAATAGTTCATGTAGTTCCAGAGAAACCACCTAGCTATCTAGAGGTCAATAGTTAATGTAGTTCCAGAGAAACCACCTAGCTATCTAGAGGTCAATAGTTCATGTAGTTCCAGAGAAGCCACCTAGCTATCTAGAGGTCAATAGTTCATGTAGTTCCAGAGAAACCACCTAGCTATCTAGAGGTCAATAGTTCATGTAGTTCCAGAGAAACCACCTAGCTATCTAGAGGTCAATAGTTCATGTAGTTCCAGAGAATCCACCTAGCTATCTAGAGGTCAATAGTTCATGTAGTTCCAGAGAAACCACCTAGCTATCTAGAGGTCAATAGTTCATGTAGTTCCAGAGAAACCACCTAGCTATCTAGAGGTCAATAGTTAATGTAGTTCCAGGGAAACCACCTAGCTATCTAGAGGTCAATAGTTAATGTAGTTCCAGGGAAACCACCTAGCTATCTAGAGGTCAATAGTTCATGTAGTTCCAGAGAATCCACCTAGCTATCTAGAGGTCAATAGTTCATGTAG